GAGCCCTGTAGCATCATCTTATATTTGACAGCACAAGCGAATCGCATGTCAAACATTCAGAGATTGCTGCTCAAGATGTTGAGAAGACTCGGAATTTTGTCAGCGTCTTCACCTGGGAGGCAGTACTATATCATCCGCATATTCTAAGTCGACGAGATTATTTCCCGGTAACGAGTCAAGCCCTGAGTCGCTGAAGTCAGTTAGTTAGGGTTAAGTCCATCAGTACATCGATGATGGAATTAAACAGAAATGAGGAGAGTGGACATCCCTGACGGACACCACTGGTTGTTATCACTTCAGATGACAACTCTACGTAGGCCCTTCCTTACCTGGCTGTATGAGTTCGAGTGGAGTGAATGCCTTGACTAGTGCGATGTATTTCCTCGTCATACACTTCACGGCCAAACATTGCCATAGTACCTCTCGGTCGACGGAATCGAATTCCGCTTTCAGGTCAAGAAATATTACAACTGTTGGACGCCGATAAGTACGCCGATGTCCCAGAATCTGTTGAAGTGTGAAGATATGACCAATACACCCTCTTCCTGGTCTAAAGCATGCCTGATTTTCTTGTGTCTGTTCCTCCCGAGAACCCCTTAGTCTACGCATCATCATGGAGCCTAGAGCTTTAGATACCACTATATTAGTCAAGCTAATCCCCCTGTGATTATCAAAGGAAGACTTGTCTCCCTTCTTGTACACCGGGATGATCAATGACATACACCAGCCCAACTGGACTGTCTCTGATTCCCAGACGTTGGCTAATACCCTAGTTAACTCAGACAGTGAACTGTCTCCACCGTCCTTAAACATCTGATTCAGATTTATGTTCAGATAATAAGGATATAATGCTCTTTGGCCTGTGTTAATTCTTGCAAAATATATCTCTGCAGAGATCTAACCTCTCTTTTAAATCGTTCACCAATGGAGCTGATACTACTGAATCAGGTAAGGAGTTCAAGTTGTTGACCGCTCTATGAGATAATCTGACTTATTCACGTATTTTAATCGTTCTCGGTTTGAGCACTATTTTCCGGTGACCCCATAAATGTATCCTAGAAGGGTAGAAAAGTTTATAAAGGTCAGTTCCTAAATCACCCTTGAGTATACGGTGTGCTAAAATTTAGTCGCCTCTCTTCCTTCGGTATGATTACGGGAAGAGATTTAAATGCTCTATCCTCTTATCATAAGGAGAGTGTGAGATTCCACTAACTAATTTCGTTTCTACTCTCTGTACTCTTTCCAGGATATGTGCCTCCTTTTTGAGGCATGGACTCGCCGCTTGTATGCAGTATTCTAGATGAGGCCTGACATATGTTGCGTAGAGTATTTGGAACATAGCCTCGTCTAATCGTTTGAAAGCCCTTCGAAGTGCCCATAGGATTCGAAAAGCCTTAGCTGCGTCTGCATTGCAATTTGCAGTTGTTTTCAAACCATTGCTGACAATGATTCCTAGGTCCTTCTGTTCGGTAACATCAGGTAGTTCTGTGTCCCCTAGGGAGTACAACGTATAAGACTTCTGACCTAAATGCATTACCGCTCTTTTCCTAGAAACTATTTCCAAACTCCACAGGTTCGATCACTCAGCTAATTTATCTAAATCAGTTTGTAGGGCCGACCTATCGTCGTTATTATTTACAGTTTTCCAGATCTTAATGTCGCTCACATATAATAATGAAGATGAAGTAAGAATATAAGAATAAAACTTGTGCACTGTGGTAGAGTGTAATTCCATTATGGGTAAATTTTGTTTTGATAAAGTCTCACAGTGATATACAGTACTGTTTACTGATGACGTTTCGAGCACAATTTATTGCTCATAATCATATGAACGTCATCAGTAAACATTACTGTATATCACTGTGAGACTTTATCAAAACGAAATTTACCCATAATGGAATGAAGTAAGAATCCCCGATAGCTCATTAATGTATAATAGGAATAGCAAGGGGCCGAATACAATTCCCTGAGGCACTCCACTGGATACTGCTTTCCACCCTGATAGTACACCTCTAATTCTAACCTTCTGCCTTTTATCCATTAGGTAATCCCTAAACAACTCACATAGGCATTGGTCTAGTCCGGAAGCTTTAAGTTTACTACGGAGACCTAAGTGGGATACTTTATCGAATGCCTTACTAAGATCGATAAAAATCACGTCCAACAGAAGGTTTTTATCTCTGGCCTCAACCCAATCTTCCCTAGCCAACAGTAGGTTTATCAGGAGGATTTTTCTCATCGGCTTTGATAACTTTTTCTTTTATCTCTATTTTCTTAGACGGGAAACTTCAACTTTGGATGCCGAATTAGTGCGAACACGTCAGGAATGACCTTTCAGGCAGCAATTGCGTTAAATAGGGAACTTGATCTTCTGAATGAACCCCAATATCTCTCTCACTAGATTAACCCCTAATCCTTCTGTAACGTAACGAAAAGCTAAGCAGATATCCGGTTTTTTAGTGTTCCACTTCATTCAACACGTTTCAGATGAAGACAGCACTATTCACCTGGTCTCACTGTTTTGATCCGACTGCGATCTCCCCAAGGTCATTGATGCATTAGCTCTTGTTGGGTGTCTAAATTTTAACATCACTCTGGGACCTATGTGGTTACTCGACAAGATACTTATTTCCTCCCTATATCAAACTGCAGTCACAACATTAGTATTATTACTGCCAGTTGTATCGACCTATATCATTTCTCAGCGAAGTTAGTGAGCCGAAACAGATATTACCCTCATCACATTCGAGTTCAAATCATGTTGAATAATTTCCAAGTATTAGTTTGTAGGAAAGTGATTAGTTTTAAGTCTGATCACGGAATAATATCAGCAAGAGAACGATTGAAAACCAAGAAGGATCAGTGGACGGCTGTTTCGTCTTAGTTTAGGACTGTTCATCAGTGCACATACATTACTCCAGGCCAGGACCTTCAGACTGCGGGTCACCAAAGAATAATTCATCGCATCCAGAATCGTAAAGATAAGTTTAGGTAAATGTCTACATGATTGGACCACCAGCCTAACTAGTAAGTCAGAAGATTTCAATTATTGAACAAATAAAGGAAATATTACTGGTAAATAACTACTCACCAACATTTATTCAGAAATGCATGAAAACCCATAGGAAAAATAAGATGAACAATCGAAAATTCAAAATTAACACTAATTCCTATGATTGTGAGAAGTGAATTCTGCTCGAAACGTTATCGAATTAACAATACTGCACCTTTGTGTGATATATTTTACACAAAGTTATCTAAGAGGCAATTACAGCCTACCTCAGTGCCCAGGTTCTACATTTGCATCAAGTGTAAGCGTTTTCAAGGGAAACCAACATATAACGAGAATTTCAACAGCACTTACTTATCCTCTACTATGACTGACTGAGTTTCGATGTGGAACTTTCCACAGAAGTGGAGCACTTCGTGTTGCCACACTCTGTGTAGCAGCACATAAAGACAGAAAAAGACATTCAAGAGAACTATGAGTAGCAGAAATGTGCAGGTGAAATAAAAACAAAACAGAAAAGCATGAGGGTTCAATTGATATTGGAGATTACAAGGAGTGAATGCACCTGTGCTAGTGAAGAAGATTGTGACCTATATTCCTTGTTGCCTCCCAAAAAATGGTTATTAGCCCCTGTCGACTACTTCAACCTGACAGTCAACAACCTAACTCACACATGTCCGGCTTAATCCAACAGTCGAAGAATTCATACAGTGATGCTGAATTTTTACTCAACCAGCACTAACAATTTTCCACACGGTCTACATTACATTCTTATTGCTTACAGTTCCTCGCCCTCAGTGTTAAGTGTTGGACAGTTAAGAAATAACAACCACTTACACGGGTGATCGCTGACGAAATCTCAGCACGAATACAGAGGGCAAGTTTCGCATATACCAGTTTACACCGTCTCTGGTGTAGACGTGATATCCGGCTGGCTGTCAACCAAAGGGCAAGTGTACTGCTCAGCATCCCCCCGTCCTCCTTTATGACTGTGAGACCTGGTCATTGAAAACGGAAGACATGAAAAGATTAGCTGTCTTCGATCATAGGTGCCTGCGTTCTATCTCCCATGTGAAGTGGTATAATAAGGTGACCAATATTGAGGTTAGGCAGCGGTCGAGTGCTAGAAAGGTAAGGAGAGGAAATCAATCGACGAGGCTGTGAAATTACATCGACTGAGAGAGATGGTTAGAACATGTGTTACAAATGCCTAGTCATCGCCTTCCTCGACCGACGTCATGCTAGCTGACGTAGGATTGGTCAAAGTGGAAAAGAGCTAGCGGCGGTCAAACCAAAACATGGCTTCACCAGTCAATGAAATCTACAACAGTTAGTTTAAGCCAGCCATGTAGGAAGGTGTCGACTTCCTGACTGGTTGGGGTTCTCATGACGGGAAAAACCAATGGTTGGCTGGTGCAGATGTATCCACTCGTTGTGGCTGATGATTTCCAATGAAACTATGTTATTACTATTCCTTTGTCTCACACCTCTATTTACTGTCTTTATTCTGCATTTCTTCTACTTTCTTCCTTTGCTTTGTGTGCTAGAAGGAGGGAGTATGGCGACTTGAACTAGTGCACATCGGTGCAGAGTTCTATGCTGAAAACAGACAGACCACTTAAATACTGCTTCATAAATAAACGACCAAAGCTCTCCTGATTCTCTCTTTCTGCTACATAATGATACAACACTCTACCGATTGTAACAAGAGAAGGCTAACGCTCTATCGTATATTTCATGATAAGTATTTCTATTTATATAAAAGCAGAGGTAAAGGGAAGGGATTTTACAAATAGAATCGGGGAATTTAATTCCCCTTTCAACAGTAGTAGCAGTAGTAATAATGATAATAAGGCACATTTACACATCAGTCAATTAGGGTAAAAGGTATGTATATATAACATTAAATGTCATCAGTGTTTTTCACTGGTGTTGTTATATCGTTACTGATAATAATAATAATAATAATCCTATTCAGCTTTGCATTGAATCAGCCTTCATTGGAGTAATTCATTTGAATTGAATTGACACAGTCCCATAATAAATCATGATATTGTTTCCAGTCTGAAGGATGCATTGGCGCTACTTCATCTTCAGCTGTTGTCGTTGTTGTATTAGCTGATGATGTTGGCAAGAGTTGAAGAAATGCATATTTATATCGATCAGTATCATTATTGCTATTTGCCATCAAATAAGAAGAACGTAGTGGTCGACCTTTGACGCATAAATGCTTACTAACGACCGATTGTTCATCGGATAAATGTTTAGCTAACTGATGAGCTATATTCAATGCTGTCTGACTAAACTTTTGAAAAATAAAAGAAAACAAAAACAAACCAAATTACGGGAAAAAATTAATACGTACACAAAATTTGGGTACTATAATTGATGCTGTCTTTCTGGATTCAACATAGAACTTGAATCCGGACAGACAGATTAGTTGATATATATATATAATATTTTTAATATATCTGTGCATAGGAGTTTCTGTAGCGGTTTGGTTAAGTTTTGGGGGTGGAGTTGCCCCAACCTTCCCTCTTTATCCAGGCTTGGGACCGGTTAGAAAACTAGCAAGCTAGTACTCTAGGCGAGGTTCAACTTTATAGACTTCGAGAAGGCCTTTGACGGCGTTGATCGCGAAGTGATTTGGAAACTACTCGAGTACTACGGCGTACACCAAATATTCATCAACCATATTCAACAGCTGTACGACAACCACATGTCAAGCGATCCACAACTGAAAACTCAGTGAGGTGTTTGGAGTAAACACAGGAGTCAGACAACGGTGCTTGCTTATTAACACCAATGATATTCCTAATTGTGGTGGACTGACTGGATTATGCGTTAGACAGTGAGTGGGAAACGAGAAGACAGGGATATCCTGAACCGACCGACGTGAAGAACCTGGAAGTCCTGGATTTCGCGCGTGGATGATTTATGTTTGATGTCACACACACAAAATCGAAGACTTACACGTGAAAACCGACAAACTGGTCGAAGAAGCAGCCGGCGAAGACAGGACTCCAGGTAAACATAGACAAAACGGAGGTTACGAAAATAATCAACAGACAACAACAACAGCAGCAGAAACATCCAGTGTCAATCACCACCAACGGGAGCGATTTGAAAGAGGTTACTTCATTCACTCACTTATCTAGCATTGAGCATTGTCTCAACTACAGGAAGTCGGAACGGACGAGGGTGTCAAATCGAGAATCGGGAAGGCGAGCGAGAAACACATTCATCAACCTAAAACCAATCTGGAAATCTTCGTCACTCACCATCAACAACAAAATTCGGTCGGATTTTCAATACAAACGTCAAGTCAGTCACTTCTTCTATACGGATCAGAAACTTGGCGGGCGGGTCACAAAGAATATTTCTAACAGCCAGTTGCAGATGTTACCTTTATCAACAACTGTCTTCGCTGGCTTTATACTGAAGATCAGATGGCCGGACCGAAAGAATCACCAACAAGAAACTATGGGCACTAATAAACAAAACAAGAACCAATCGCCAACCAACAAATATGCAGGATAAAGTGGATTGAGATGGATTGACATTCGTTGAGGAGGCCACTTGGTGACATCGCGCGTCAAGCCCTCGATTAGAACCCGAAAAGGGAATCGACGAGTGGGACGTCCAAGGGTGATCGTGTGAAGAGGAGTTGAAAGAGTATGGACTAAAATGGGTGGAGACGTGCAGCTGAAGCCCTATGTTCCACTAGGAACCCAAGGGATCAATAATAATAGTAATATATATGAATATATATGAATTCAAGTTGGATCAGACGAATAGTATCCCTACACACCAACACTTGTAAATTAACCTGATGCTCACTAGTGACTGACTGACAACAGACGACGCTTATGACACGCTCAACTTGATTTCCACTTAGAGTAAGTCTGGTATGTGATGTCACTTAGCATGTGTCTAACTTATCGTCGTTTCAGGTGTTGGTTCGTAGAGATTCAGTTGGTCACAGGATTTCATTGTGAGCTGACATTGGTTAGAGAACCATTGGAGAACCTGGGAGTACTGGACAGCTGTTTCGGACCCTTCAGCAGTACGCGCTCACCGCCAGGGTTCTAACCTACGACCTTTTGGTTACAAGGCGAGCTAGCTCGTATACCATTAAGCCACTGGGACTCGATGCAGTGGCCCATGAATTCTTACTTCTGCCAATTCACGACCCCTAGCCAATGTCTTCGGCGAGTATTTGTCCTCACACCCGACCTGCTGCACCCTACTGCTCACGACATATATTATTATTATATTAGTTAAGCGATAGGTTCTTGACTGGTTTACTGCTTGCCAGAGTTCCTTGTGTTGCTAATTCTTTCTAGCCGATCGTCTTATCTTGACTACGGAGCCAGCGAAGGCATTTTTCGATGAAAAGGAGTCGGTGGCACAGTGGTTAGGACTCTCGCCGACCATGCACATGGTCCGGGGTTCGAGCCCACGCTGATGAACACCCGATATCTATGGTCGGCCTGCAAAATTTGGTCTACCGATGTCCATGCTGAAAATTCCACATTTGTACCAAAAACATAGTGTGGAATTAAGCTGTAATAAAAAAATACTAGCTAGGTGTATATTTCTTAATTAATTCGTTTACTGGATAAACTACACAATCACCCACACACTTTTTTAATTCCTTTAAGATCCCAGGGCAACATAGGGTTTCGAGCTAGAGGCTGGAAGTTTCTGTAGCAGCGGTGATTATTTTTACAGGATGCCCAACCTTCGATATTTATCAGCCTTATTGCTGGCTTACCGAGGTAAAGGAGCACGTTAGTGGCCAGGGATCGAACCCCGAACTACCTGCGTGGTCGGCCAGCACTCTACCGCTGTGCCAACGACGCACAAATCCATATAATGGTACACCTATTGACTGGGTATTGGTTTTCAGGAGAACTGAACACATCTATCCCTGTCTTTTGCATGCAGTATCATCCTATGACCCAACCACTCGAGAGCCTTCTCCCGTCCACACACACAGTAAAATCGATTTGATTGATTTCAATGCAGATCATGAAATGACATCCCCCAGGTGAACGCTTAACAGGCCTGTGTTGTGATCTTAAGGTGTTCTATGTGCGTGTGTGCATAGCCTCAGTATCCCAAAATGGAGGAGGATGAAACAGCTGCACTGTACTCTTTGGTAGTTTTCAATTGTCCTCTAAGTGATGTCAGTATTACTACTATTATTATTCACCTGATGATCGCATTTGGGACAGGATCTAAGAATGTTCTACATAATTAATTACATCATACAGTGTTACTATTTTCTTCAAACCTTTGTGTTTCCAGTGAGAAATAGGCCTTCTAACTTTTAGCTTCTAGTGTCAGCAGTGTTGGTGCTGTTCTCACGAGATGGCGTAGTTAGCCCGACATTCCCTCTTTTCCAAGCTCACTACACGCTAGTAATCTAGCTGAGGTTTAGGAGTGAGTCTTTTCCGGAAATCGAATTCGGATCACCAGTGTGACTGGATGGCGAGTTATCTACCAAGTCGGTTTATGTAGATCTTGTATTTTGTTGTCCGAATGGACAGATGTTCAATCGCTCCATTTTTATTTATTCTCAGTTCATTCGAAGAATGAAGCTTCAGTTAGCAATAAACGACAAACAGTGAGGAAGATAGGGATGACAAAACAATCACAGAAAAATGAAATCATCAATGATTAGGAGTCCTGGAAACATCACCAGTGCTACCAGACAAAGGCGGAACCAATGAAACGTAATATAGGAGTTTTAACCAGGCAAGAAATGCATGCAATCCATTCAATCACACACACACACACACACACAATTGGAGACAAATAACGTTAGTTAAAAGGTTCCATGGGACACATTAAATAAAATAATAACTTAATCTAATGAATAAACTTCACCGAGTTTACTAGTTCCCCAGTCCCAAGTCGGGGCGAAGAGGGAGGGTTGGGCGTAGGGCTAACAACCATACACCACTAAACCAACCAAACTGCTACATATGCTTCAGCGCACAGTAAAAATATAAACACTTGAAAGGAAAACTCATTCTTCGCTGGAATAGGAGAGGCGAAATGACACAAAGGACAGGTGAAAGGCTTCAGGAAGCCAGTCAGACGATGTGTCTTTTCTCGATGAAAGCGAGAATAAGAATGGGGACGTGAAATGTTCGTACAATTTACGAGACTGGGAAGGCTGCTCAGGTCATATTTTACACGCGACAGATTGTGATTCCTCAGTATTGAACGATGAACTTCTGTCGATCCAATTGTTGGTGCGACAAAGCCAGTTACATTGGCATTTGTTCTAAGGATTTTCAATTTTTCCTACTCGGGAACACCTACCGCAGTGTAAATGAATAAAGGTATAGTGAAACCACCAGCAGTGCGATATTAGCTCACACAGGCCATAAGGTCAGCACACAATCATTCCTATCATTCATCGGGTACTTATCAAATTACTTATCAAAGGCATCTAAATACCAGACACTCGAAACAGTAAAAGCCATTGCTATTCGCTTAAAACAACCGGAGCGATGTGTGCAAAAGAAACAGGTCCAGCTACTTTTGATACTTTGGCTGGTTCACTGGGGAACCTATAATTTCATAAATTCTGTACTATCCTGCTTAATTCACCTCATATCGAGATTAGTGCTATACGGATGTGTATTAGTACTTCCAAATGTTTCTGAACTGTAATCAAATGGTCTGTAATGAACTGTAAGCAAATGGTCTTCGTCTAACTAAATCCTTCCAAATGTCACTGTTAATTTCAGTTTCCCATATAAAAGAAAATTAAATGAAGTTGTTGGTTCCTATGACTGTTGCAAAATTGATGATACTGATATAGAAAGCAAGTCTGAAGTTAACTATCTTGGATTAATTCTTTCTTCTGACCCACCTATCCTGGTCTTCCCGTGTATTAGCGATTTCTGAATGAATATTTCGTCTGACTTCTCACTTTAAGAAGTTGAGGCACTCAGGGATAACCCAACCACTCCTATTACAGTTTGTCGAATCGTGTATTATTACGCCAACGTCATGTCCCGAATAGGGGTCATGAGGAAAAAAACTGGTAAAGCTTAACCTTGAATAACTCACCAACCAATCAAAGCAAATACGACTCGGAGATATATGGCCTGACTTTCTAAGAAACAGCCACAAAGATATGACAGAATAACCTTCAGCAAGAAAAGGACCAATCAGAGAACGTTGCTTCTCTGCTAACAATAACGAATAATAATATATATAAAAATCTACAAGTATCTCTTTATTTTCTCAAGAAAGGATATGTTTCTTGGCCGTCATCTTCTGTCGTCACAATATTAGTGGATGTGCAATAAAATAGAGCTAGTACAACAAACCACGTCCTTGGTTAGTTTGATTGAACTACTGAAGTTTCGACAATTTAAAACAGTTTATAATATTAAAAGTATCTGGCGTTGAAAGCGGTAAGTTTAACTTGTTGTTTGATTTACACATATCCGATGGAAATGCTTGATACTAGTTAACATGTCCGTACTTCGTAGGACGTAGTCTAGGACGATGCCTGAAGATTGACATAATGTAATTGTGTTCGTGTTGGCTGCCTGTTATGTGAATTTCGAGCTATTCGAGACTCATCTAGCGCTTTGACGTGAGAAACGATAGGCGCTGCACGGGTTTCAGTCTTAAGGGGAACACCACTCAATCATTCACTGTCGCAGGCACACTCAGATGACGAGTCTCAAACGTAACGAAATTCACATCCTGAATCGCCCTTGCTGACAGTAACCAAGTGACATCTCACACACGCTAGGTAGTAGGAATTCGACTGAAACTCGAGTAGGTAACCAGTGGTGACATGCAGGCAGGCCACAGTCTTGGAGGTACAGTTGTGAAAGACTGGTGGATTTAAAAGACAGAGAGAGGGACCTAAGTACAATGGAGAGATGGGCCACTGACGCTTTATGTATTCCCTATTCGGGAGGTTAGGGAATAAATAACGATTAGTAATCACATGATGATATAAATTAGTTAAATTTAATTGTTATTAATTAATTATTTAATTAAATTAGCTAGCTTACTTGTAGACTTGGGAAATAACAAACAGCTACATTCTTATTATAGACAACAAATGACTGAGATGGTTTGAGTTGTTGAAAAGCGAGGACAAGCTGAGAAAACAGAAAAAAAAAGAATTAAAAAGTGGAGAATTATCAAGAAGAATTTAGACCCCACAGAGTAGAATATAATTACCTATGAGATAAGTTTATCTGATATCACTACTACTCATAGTCATATCATTGTGTTTTCTCACGACTTTCTGATTCAGCTTATATGGCCTGGCTTCATCTAGCTAACTCATTTTGACTCCACGTATGTTGATGTTGATTCAATGAACAAAGATTTGGTGAATAACCTCTCCCACTATCTCTTCATCTGATATTACTTTGTAATACTTTTACTCTATTCCACCTGCTATGGTGTAATTACATGCAAGTAAATATTCATAGAAATGGCTGAGCTTTATTGCAGATTACTTTAATTTATTAGGATCAATCATTCTAGATCTAACTAAATGCCTCTAATTCCAATAATCTAATTAACTTCAAACTCTGTCTGTTTCATTGGAAACCATAAGTCACTACGAGTGGATACATCTGCACCAGTCAGCTATTGAGAACGATTTTGAGTCATATCACCAATTGTTTCCAGCCATTGGTTTTTCCCGTCATGAGAACCCCAACCAGTCAGGAAGTCGACACCTTCCTACATGGCTGGCTTAAACTAACTGTTGTAGATTTCATTGACTGGTGAAGCCATGTTTTGGTTTGACCGCCGCTAGCTCTTTTCCACTCTGACCAATCCTACGTCAGCTAGCATTGACTGTCGGTCGAGGAAGGCGATGACTAGGCATTTGTAACACATGTTCTAACCATCTCTCTCAGTCGATTAATTTCACAGCCTCGTCGATTGATTTCCCCTCCTCCTTACCTGGCACTCGACCGCTGCCTAACCTCAATATTGCTCACCTTATTATACCACTTCACACGGGAGATAGAACGCAGGCACCTATGGTCAAAGACAGGTAGCCAGGCGTTTTCATGTCTTCCACTCTCAATGACCAGGTCTCACAGTCATAAAACAGGGACGGGGGAGAATGCTGAGCAGTACACACGGCTTTTGGTCGACAGCCATCCGGATATCACGTCTACGTCAGGGACGGCGTAAACTGGCATATGCGAAACTTCAAACTACTCATTCGAAGTATGTAATTGACCTGACAATAATAAATATGGTTTTTGATTGCAGACTGACGTCAGTTAGAGAACCAGAGAAAACTAGAAAGTGAAGAGCAGATGCTTCGTCCTAGCTTGGGTCTCCCTCCTCATGTCCAGGCACTCACCAAGGTTCGACCTGAGGGCCTTCCGGTTTTCAAAGCGAGCTCGTAGACTATTCAGACATTGTGATCCGATATAATAGCTTATAAGTTCCAGGGTGACAGCTGGCTAATGTCATAGGTTAACTTGGTGAACCGAACTGGTCGTCAACTCCACGTAACTGTCAACAGCTGCTGAAGAGGTGGAAGACTCTGTATCTAGAATGACCCAGTACAATCAGTCAGAATAAGTTCTTTCATTAATGACTTAAAGTTATTTTACGTCTGTGTGTGTGTGTTTAGTATACCACTTGTTTTACAAACTTCAACGGTCAGTATTTGCCTACTGATATTCATCGCTAGATCAGTTCCAAACTAAGACGAAACGGAACAATTCAGTCCTCCATAAGTTGTCGTACCATGAGAACTTGGATGAGAATTTCATTTAGTCTATCCAGCGAAAAAGGATAATCGAAAGATGAATTCTGTGACCATGCTTTCATTACTTAGATATGGTTCAGAGACTTGGAGACAGCTCAGAAGCCGAAAGCATATATATATATATATATATATATATATATATATATATATATTCCTCACGACCACTATACTGAAAAGATCACGTGACCACTGAGGGGATAGATAAGACAATAACAACGAACTCTATTGATAAACAAGTATGCAGGATATGGAGATACATGGATTAGAAATACACACTGAGGAAAACGAGTAATAATAATAATTATCATTATATTATTATTTCCTTTAATTCCTTGAGGAACATACGGCTTCAGCCGCGCGTCTACATTGCGTTTGGTTCTCTGCTAGAGTTCTCGCCTGGCTCCACGTCAGCCTATATGCTTTCATCTTCTCTTCACATGACCTCCCCCACGTCACCCTTGGACGACCAACTCACCACTTTCCTTTCGGGTTCCACTCGAGGGCTTGTCTAGTGATGTCACTCACTTTATGGTTTCCTCAGAGTGTGGCCAATCCATCTCCATTTCTTCCTGCCTATTTGTTGCACAATCGGTTCCCGCTGGGTTGGTTCGCTCCCAGAGATCCCTGTTGCTAATCTTTTCTGGCCATCTGATCTTGAGCCAAGGCAGTATAATAATAATAATTACAACAAATTCAATAACAAATCAATAAAAAAACCCAACCCACTAACTTACTTCATCTGGTTTATTAAAAGTGAACCCTGAGACAATGACATCGGGGATTCTACTTTTATTCTTTATAATCAGGTCTCTTAAATTGTCAACATATAGTTGAATTTTAACATCATCGATTACGTCACCACAATCACCATCATTACCGATTTTTTTATTATGAATACGATTACGATTCGATTCTAATGCCAAACGGGCATACAATGGAAGATATCCAGATTGCTGTTGATGGGAATCATTAGAATTCCTTCAAACCATTTAATATGTTCACCGATTTCCTGAGGATTATTCAATGCTTGTTTCTGTCTTAATTCACCTTCTTTAATTAACGCGTTAGCACGTTGATGAGCGGATTTTGCAGACTGACCAAAAATACAAGTGAACTAGAGGAGAGAGAGAGAGAAGAGGGCGTAACAGAAGATGTCATGATTACTGCTATCTGTCAGTCACTAAGATAGATAAAAAACAGAAGTTCACAGAACAAAAAAGTGTTTGCTTACTCAAGCTTACTACATTATTTCCACCACGAAGTTCGACATTAGGACGGGTACTCACCGATGGCATTGGCTGGCGGTCACGCTGTATGTATGTGTATCGCCAGTTGCCAGAAGTTAGAGTACATGGATAGCTATATGGTAGTTGACAAGCTCGATGATGGAGTCATAGAAGCGTGCGGCTAAAGAGTTTAGAACAAAGGCAAAATAGCAGTCCAGTAAGTACTCCCTGTTGATTTTCATTGGTTCACTAAACTAACTAAAGTCGTTACATGATCAAAATTGAAATCAATGAAAACCAACAGTTCAAAATTATAAGATTTGATGGTGTGGAAAATTCCCATATTATGAATTAAAGTCAATCTGAACGAAGAATATTATTTTCAATAATTTCTCCCTTCAGGTTCTTACAATTATTAAATATAATATTTGTTGTCGTTACAATAAAGGCCAGTTATGCGGTAGATACATTTTTAACGTAGAATAGCAGATTAGTTATGGGGTGTCAAAATAAATAGTTGTATTTGTGTGATAAACGTGCTAGGCTGAAGTGGATTACAAAATATTACAAACACGGGAGACAATGGTGGTGATTAATCATAATAGATTTGTAGAGTATGGAGTAAGAAAATTGACAAATCAGTTCAAGGTTATAAAAGGTGTCAGGTGAGTGGCTAGCACAAAGTGGTTTGTGTTAAACAGTAGATAGTAAGACTGCAATTAGAGGTTCATAATGAAATAACGAATGTGTGAAATGAAACAGGTGGAGGCATATATTGGGAAAAGAGGTAATATCACTAATAATAAGTCCGGATAGTATAAATGAAAATTCGATGGTATTGAGAGAATGTTTGCATAATGGGCATAAATTATGACCAATAATAATAATTGTAATAATAATGTTTGTAATAATAAACAAAGGAAAAAAACAAAACCAAGAGGGTTAAGGGGAAGGAGCACTTTTGGTGAGAAGAAAAATCTTCAATCCAAGGTTGGCCACGGTAGGAACAGCGTCAGGACGTGTTCTTTTTTGTACTAGCCACTCACCTGACACCTTTTATAACTTGAACTGATTTGTCAATTTTCTTACCCACACTCTACAAATCTATTATGATTAATCACCACCATTGTCTCCCGTGTTTGTAATATTTTGTAATCCACTTCAGCCTAGCACGTTTATCACACAAATACAACTATTTATTTTGACACCCCATAACTAATCTGCTATTCTACGTTAAAAATGTATCTACCGCATAACTGGCCTTTATTGTAACGACAACAAATATTATATTTAATAATTGTAAGAACCTGAAGGGGAGAAATTATTGAAAATAATATTCCTCGTTCAGATTGACTTTTAGTTGACAATTAATTGGATGCATCACACAGTGAAATAGTATTGCTAACTGGATGACGATGTTTTGAACACAATCTGTTATTACTGTTCATAATCATATCCATTGTAATTCCACAACTTGTTCTCCTCTTTTTCTCCCATTTGTTGCAAAGGTAATAGTAGAATCATCTAAATGTCTGGGTGGACAGGTGTTGAAACGTTCCTAATGCACCTTCTCTCAATTGATTCAATATAAATAAAGCTTCAATTATTAATCTCGCTTTCTCTTCACCCTGTTTTATTAGACTTTAAGAGACTAGCTTTGTCCCATCCTCGAGTCTGTAACTCTATGTAGTGTGCTATAGCTGTGCTTTTTCTAGATTTCTAATCTTATTTTGGTTAGCTAATCTGAATTTCACTTTGGTTTTGTACTCCGCCTATGTAATTCACCTGAGAATCACTTCGGAGTATTCGATAAATTAAATTATTATTATTTTGCTTAATGTCCTTCACAGGACCAATCCTTGAATCGATACAATTTGTTTTTAAGTGAGTTTATGGTCAACTGTATGCCACTTTTATTTCTGCTTTATAAAAGAGTTATACGTTGAGTTTCAGGGGTTCCTTCTTGGTGGGGAAAGACTACTGATGTTTTAAATTCTCATAAAACAATTCCAACAGTGGTGTGAACATGGGCAGTAGTAATTTTGCTCGAAATATTACCAAAAATCAAAAACTTATCATCGTGTGTAAACCATTGAAATATATAGTTATACTTTATTTGATCTATTCCACAATGCTCAAACTTTTTACTAACATTAAGTTTAAATTCCTTATTGTCCATGTCGTCATATTTTTTGTGTCGATTCCTGATGCATCTCGTCCTTATCTTTAAAAGTCATAATAAATATAATAATTTCTTACGAGTTGATCACGAATTGATATCAGTTAATGATACATTGAAAACCAGTACTGGAGTATTAGACAGCTGTTTCATCCTAGTTCGGGAATCATCGGCAGTACGCACCCACTACACGGGTTCGAACCCAGGAACTTCCGGTTACAAGTCAGCAAGCTCGTATACCATTCAGTCACTGGGACCGGATTCAATGCCCAGTCCATGAATTCTAACTTCTACCAATTCGCGATTTAGCGCCACCCTGACCAATGTCATCGGTGGAACATCATCCTCACACGTGACATCTGAATTGACCTCACTGGTCACGAATTGGTAGAAGATAGAGTTTATGAGCCATTGAATCGGGTCCCAGTGGTTGAATGATATACGAGCTTACCCTGTAACCGGAAGGTCATGGGTTCGAACCCACGTGGTGCGTGCGTACTGCCGATGATTCCCAAAATAGGATGAAACAGCTTTCCAGTACTCCAGTACTGGTTTTCAACTCGTAAAAAACAAAATAAACCTTTACAAACCAAACTATAGAAAGATAATAATTATTTTATTTTTACAGCTTCCTACAGAATTCACTCATAATTTATCCAGGCAATTATTAAGTGTTAGAGGCTGTTAGTTTTTACTCTTTATTTTTGTTTATCACTTTGTAAAGAAAAGTGTAATTTTTAAAATTAAACTTATACTTTCGCTACAAGATAAGATATTAGTCTTTATTATTGTACATCGTTATATGCCGCATATAAAGTAGTCGTGACTTGATAGCTTTGTTCATAAACTGGGAAATACTGTACAGCGTCGGCGGCACAGCGGTTAGGACGCCCACCGACCATGGATATGGTCCGGGGTTCGACCACCGACCACCGACGCACTCATTTACCTAGCTAAGTCAGTAATAAAGTTGGTAAAGAGGAAAGGTTAGGGGGCATCAGGTTGGCAACCCCATCCTGTAAAAATAAACACCACTGCTACAGGAACTTCCAGCCTCTAGCTTGAAGCCACCCTATGTTCCACTGGGAACGTGAAGGAAAAAGACATCAAATCAGAGTCTGTCTGTGTGTTCAAAACTTCGTCATACAGTGAATAAATACTACTTCACTGTGGAATACGTAGAATACACAAATTAATAAGGAATTACATACACATATATCAGCGCGTTGATAGCTTAGTGGTGAAATTCCGGACAGTCACCTGACAGGTTTGGATTCTATCCCTCACCGACTTATTCGAAGACCTCAACTAGATTACTAGCAGTCGGTAGTAAGGGAACGTATAGGGAGTGTAAGGCGGCTAACAATCTGAACATGGGTAGAGAAACAACATTACAACTAGAAACTTAAGGACTTGAAGCCTGCTTAAGCCCAGCTGGGAATGCAAGTGATTTTTAATAGAGCTCGATTCCAAATCACACTGCTGACGTCTAAGTTGACAGTTGTCTGTACCTGAGTTTTGCACATACAACTTGCAGACTAGTGTCGCACAACAAGGAGGACACTTGGGTCCAGGAAATTCTGCAGATTGTCTCCAACCAACTAACAACTAACGTCAATTTAGGGTGCACAGAGATGGTAGGCCATCTAGTTTGATGGCAATCACATCAAAAAATTGACTGATAGAATTCAGTCACTAGCGTCACAAACATTAAGATCCAGATGTGGGTTCAAACTCAACAAACGACATCATTTCTTCCAAGATTTCAGATACGCCTGATTGAGGAATACCAACAAGGACGGAACAACAGTTGAGGGCTTCCTGCAATTTACCACTGTTATGTTGGTGATGATACTGGATTTTAACAGACAAACTCGTCTCCAAAATGTTGTCTGATGATGCAAGCATAAGGTTGATTTGTAGGTTAGGTACTGAATGCAACTAGGCAACTCGACTGAAAACCAAATACCAGATACTGGTTACTAGTCATTTTATGACTCCGTTCCCGGTAAATCCAAAGAAACATATTATCAATCAATCTCGTATAATCACTTCCTGCATTACAAAAACAAGCCACATCACTCGTACATAAGATGTTTATGCTCCTCAAAAGTACACCTCGAAACTGGAAATCCGACACAATTCCAAAACCTCTATATGACAAACTGAAATCCTCTCTTGTACCCATTTCTGTTGATCATCTAGGTTGGTTTACAGTTAAGTCGGTATACAGCAATATTCGTATAGTCTAGAAAGGTATCTTAACATCTGAACACTTTAAAAACCCAAACAAACTAAAGCATATAATTGGTGGATGGTGACTGGCAGTGGAATCCAGCCAGGATGCGAATTTCGTCCTATTTGGAACTCGTCCGCCAGCTGAATGTACCTGCATTTCCCTTCAGCATAAGTTGAAATTCATGGGCTGGTCACTGGGTCGGGTTCCAGTGACTTAATGGTCTTTGAGTTCACCTTGACACCAGAAGGTCCCGGGTTCAAACCTTAGTGGGTGCGTATTGTTGAGGAGTCTCAAACTAGGACAACGCAAACAGCTGTTCAGTACTGCCAGCCTTATCAATAGTAGTCCTTTAACCGATGTTATTACATGATGAAATCCTGAAACCAATCAAATCCCTGCAAACCAACACTTGAAAAACCTGTTTTCATGTAGTTAGAAAATTACTTTTTGTTACTTTGGTCCAGCCATAGTAATCCAAATTTAAGAAGCAGATTTCATTCTGCTTAACGATGTTTTCATCCCCTCATCAGTCCGCTCCGTCCTCCTTTATGGTTGTGAGACCTGGCCACTGAGAGTGGAAGACATGAATAGATTAGCGGCCTTTGATCATAGGTGCCTGCGTTCTATTTCCCGTGTAAAGTGGCATAATAAGGTGAGCAACATTGAGGTTAGGCGTAGAGTTCTAGGTAAACAGGGGAAATCAATCGACGAAGTCGTGAAGCTACATCGACTGAGATGGTTAGGACATGTGTTACGTATGCCAAGCCATCGCCTCCCTCGACGAGCTATGTTAGCGGATATAGGGTCAGACTGGAAAAAAGCTAGCGGCGGTCAAACAAAAACTTGGCACCAGTCAATCAAATCCACAACAGTTGGTCTAAGCCACGTAGGAAGGTGTAGACTTTCAGGCTGGGGTCCTCGGGACGGTAAAAATCTATGGTTGGAAACAATTGGTGACATGGCTCAAAATCGTTCTCAGTGGCGCAGATGCATCCACTCCCTGTGACTTATGATCTTCAATGAAATTGTTTTGTATTTCTTTATTACTCCTTTGTCTCACACCTCTGCTCACTGTTTCTATTATGCTTTTCTTGTACTTTCTACTCTTGCTTCGCGTGCTACACGGAATGTGGCGACTTGAACTGTCGCACATTTGTGCAAAGTTCTATGTCGAAAACAGACAGACAGACAGACCTTTTATTCTTAACTCACTTTTACACCACTTATCGCTTCTGTGATGACTTTTTTTATTACAGCTTGATGCAACACCGTACTTTCGGTAGAAGTATGGAATTTTCAGCATGTGACATCGGTAGCCCAAATTCCGTAAGCCCATCATAGATATCGGGTGTGCGTCGGCAGGGGATCAAACCTCAGACCATATGCATGGTCAGCGAGAGTCCTAACCACTGTGCCACCGACGCACTTATGTTTATAAAAGTAGTGATTGTTTATGCCCTATTTTTTATATATAAACACTTATGACTACTACGTGTGTGACCAGAATGTCCGAAATGTGTTGTGAAAATTCACGTTCCAAAATAAATCGTGTCTTTTTATTCTTTTTGTTTGTTTTTTCGAGACTCATAAATGAAAATTTTCAAGTTTAAAAAAATATTTTATTACTTTGCGTTCCGCGTGGAGAGCTTAGGGCTTCACAAGCCTTTTGCTTTGAAGGCTCAATGGCAATGGTATTATTTCTACGCGGTTAGCGGAAGTTGTAAACCTCACGCTCACAACCAGCCAACCCACCTACCATCATCAGGATTACTATTAAAAAAAAAACACAATTATCGATCATTTTTGAAGTCTCTTACAAGTGCGTTTTCTGTATCTTGTGGATTTGTGAGAGGAACTGCTTGATCCACTCTCAAGCACGCTGAGTACACGTTTGGACAACGTGATAATCACCTTTTTAAGGGATGTCATCTTGAGGTATTGACTTTGTCCGGTGGTCTGCATCGATGTGAAGACGACAGTATGACAGCACACAGTTGGTAGAAAATTTCAATGAATATCTGAAGATTCCTCTGAAAACTGATCGTCACTGCAAACAGACACATTCTGGATGACTCCAAACATGTCTAGCTGACTAAAAGTGACGGGTGGTCGAAATTCCTCTTTTTTAAATAACCAGACCAATTTGCAATTAGTTTTCTCCGAGCTGATTGGTTTAGTTGAGGAGCTCTCGTCGTCCTTCTGGACAACATCCCCTTTTAGAGCAATTTTAGCATAAAGTGAAATGATTTAAATTTTTCATGAGCCATAGAATTGCGGTAACCATCTTTACATCTCTATTGATCATTTTCTATTGACCTGAATTGAAAACCTTCTCGTCACATGATTTAATTTTTATTACTTGGTATATTTCGTATATATTAACGTGTTTGTTAATTGTATATTCGTTTGAATACCAGGCTTCCAGGAATTCCCTGACTGCACTTTTGGTGTTTCCTCTATCTAAAATTTAGACATCACCCCCAATCAAACTGATGTCCATGATTATCCATATGCATTGATATGAAAGAATATATATCATGTCTTTTGACGGCTGATTTGTGTTCCTGGATTCTGATTCCAAGGAGACGCTCACTCTGGCCGATGTGGTGCCTGTTACAGTTCATAGACTTCATTTCGTAATTGATATTAACCTTCTGTTTCTGCTGGATGTTTCGGTTTGCACAATATCGAATGAAGTGATTACTCTGGCTGGTTTGTGTGCTATATCTATATCAAACGGTTTTAATAGTCTAGCTGTTATTTCAGAGATATTTCTCATATTTGGTAGGACGAATTTTCTTGTGGTCTTTGATGATAGTTCCTTGTTGGTGTTGTGACTTGATTTTAAACACTTTTTGGTGAAATTTTTGGATATCCATTCTTTTCGAAGACCGTTTGTAGATATTTTTCTTCCGTTCTTTCCAACTCTGGAGTGCTACGGTGTGTTTGAACTCTTTTAAACAATGTCTGCACACACTTTCTTTTATGAGTAATTGGATTATTGCTAGTATAGTTGAGTATTTGATCTGTGCAAGTGCGTTGATGTTCTATATACTTGTGTTTCTAAATTTCCTGTGTTAGTTCTCCTCATTAAGACATCTAAAACTGAGATTTTGTTACCTAATTCTTCTTCTCTCGTGGTGAATATGATGTCTTCAAATATGTTGTTTATTGATTTATGGGTATATTCTAAATCACATTTCTTTTAATTATCACAAATGTATCATCAACGTAACGTACCCAGATTTTCAGTTTAATTATAGGTAGAGCTATTAATTCTAATCTTTGCATAACGGCTTCAGCTATCAATCCTGATATGGGCGATCCCATTGGTGTTCCTTTTATTTGTTCATATATTTGAGTACTGAATTGGAAGTAAATGTTGTAAGGCATAATTTTATGAGTTCTATCCAAGTTGAACATTGCGTTCTGATGTTTTCATCACTGTTGCATAGCTTCTGTTGCTAGTTTTGGACTAATTGAAGTATATAATGCTGTGACATCAAAGGACACCATTATTTCACTGTCTTCTACTTGAATATTTTTGATTTTCTCTAAAAATTGGATTGACGAATTCATAGAATGGTCGCATGATTCTGTTAGGTAATTTAACTTCCTGAAAAGTTCTTTAGATAGATTATATGTTGGTGTTCCTGGAAGTTAAACGATTGATCATAAGGGAATGTTTGTTTTGTGTAGTTTTGGCCTACCATAGTATCTAGGTAAAATAGCTCCGTTAAATTTAATTCGCCATTGATCTTGTTCTGTAATTTGTCCTGATTTCGTTAGTTTATTTAACGTTGTTCTGATTTCGTTATTGAATGTTTGTTAAATCAATATTTAGACCAATATTTATATCAGGATTCAGTTATCACGAAAACAATTCAGATGTGTCACACCACAAATATACTTACGTTTCTGTCATGATGATCCTCCTCTTAGGTCGCTAAGGATAAAGTAGGTGGAATAAGAAGTTTTGAATTCCAAAAGTCATTGTTTGAAAAAAGCTGAGTGTTTGGTAAAAATGATAATTCGTGCGTTTTTACGAAGAAACATTCAAATAAAACATAAACAATGTAAACAGACTTATACCACTTAAGAAAGACGAAGTTGAGAGCTCAGTGGTCGAGTGTTCATCAGTCATATGAGTGGTCTGTCTACGTTGGATTTACAGCTGACGTACTCCTCAAATTCTGCAAGTTTACTTAAACCCGGAAAAGAGGGAAGTTTGAGTGTAAGACCATAAATCGCACAGTGATGTTGTCGTTTGAACTCAGTTATTTTGACACTTACCATAATGTACAGTGTACTATAAACCATACATACATATTGTATGGATGACGATTAGTGGTACTATCCAGTGGGTTGGTTGCTTAGGTCTAAACAAGGATAGCGGGAGTCGAACCCAGGTCGTATTGGCCACTTATTAATCACCATCGCTACGAAAACTTAATGCCCTCACTATGCTTCACATTCGGAACGTAGAGAAATGAAATTCAGAAGAAGAAAAAAAGAGGAACTATTTCAGAAAACATTCAGCTTACTTCTTTTATAGTGTTTTGACGACCTTTCACTGCAATCACAGCTATATCTTGTAAATCTGCCAGTTGAGAAAGATGTGTACCACAGCACAATTCAGCGGATATAACAGAAGTAAAATCGACTGATTCATCAACATGTCCATCATCATTGGATGTTGGTTTCACTTGTCCAATACACACAGTTCGTACTTTTTCGGTATATTCTTCCCATGGGAAATATCTTACTTCTTTTATCTTAGTGAACGAAAATGTGTAGAATAAGGAAAACGTATTTTATAGTACTGAATAGACCAGAAAGATTATAAAATAGTGAATACCATCTGTGCAATTGACAATGATGTTGAGGCGCATGTTGTCAACAGACTTCATCCATTGGTTTTTTAACGTCTAAACGAAGAGCCTACACCACCCTACACAAGGCTGGCACTAAAAGCCAGTCAAAGACTTCATGGATTTGTTCCATGTTTCGATTTGACCATCCCTGATTCTTTTGCAGACAAATCATAGCTTAGCTAAGGTAATTCAACGAGGAAGATAGCGTAGATAGGCATTAGTGACCGGTGTTTCAGGTACCACAAATGTGTTACGCCATTCTTTTGTATACATGCTGAGATTTTAGTTAGCAATCAACCCATTAGGGCTAGTATAATTTCCCAAATAAGCGAAGCGCCCAACACACTTGACCATTTCACTCCCTATCCTTAGGTTAGAAATCGGTCCAGTCCTGAACCATCATCACCTTATATTTCACACAAGCGAATCGTACAACAAACAGTCGAAGATTTCTGCTCAAGGTGTTCAGAAGACGCTACACATCCTAGCAACGCCTTCACCTAGGACAACTGCCATCCGCATACTCTAAGTGAACAAGATTGTCACCTGGTAACAAGTCAGTCCATAAGCTCCTAAAGTCGGTATGAGTGTCAATTCCACTAATGCATCTGAGATGGAATTAAACAAAAATAGGGATAGTGGGCATCTTTGATAGGCGCCGTTGGCTGCTATCACACTTCAGGTGACAAACCAGTAAACTAGTGCACACGGCTTCGTAAGTTCCAGTAGAATGCCTTGACTCGTATGTCACATTTTCACAGCCAAACATTACCACAGCACCTTTCAGTTGATAGAGTTGAATGCCGTCTTCAGGTGAAGAAATATGACAGATGCTGAAGGCTAACAAGTATGTCTATACCCCGAAATCTGCCTCCTCCCGGCCTAAAACCGGATCGTTTCTCTCCTCAGCGCCATTTAGACTATGGCTGATTATTGAAACTAGAACTTTAAATACCATACTTAGTCCAGCTTATCTTTTACTATTTGGCATTCTCGTGTCACACAGTTAAGCCTACCACTAGAGCAACCATGACATGGTACGTGAACATTACTAATGAAACTAAATAATCATGTTAGTTGTACAACTAACTCACTTTTGTCGCCTTGCTCACATCTGTATTCCAAACAGATATAGGGATACGCTTTTGGATTAAGCCTCGACAGACTTCTTCTAATCGTTGAATAAATCCACCTAAATTTTCATTCATTTGATCCGCTGCTGGTCCAACAAAAGCAGCCTTTAACGTAAAGTAACTTGGATGTGATGCGCCACCATGATGTTGAAATGTTGACATTTTTGAATTATCTGATAGTACTACTAATGATTCTAGTGCAGTAGCGAATAAGTGTTGACCAGTATGTGAACACATGAGATTATATCTGCGCTCCTAGAAATCAAATCAAATAAATAAGTATGTACATTTCAAGTTGTATTTACGATTACTCTTTCCTACAGTCCTGAGTGGGGGTTATAGCGCTTCAGCTGAAGTACATCTCCCTTGCATCCGGTGTTCTCTGCAGTCGCTTTTACCTGGTCCGACGGTTTGACCATAAACTTGCATCTCATAATGACAATAAAACACCTCCATGTCACCGACATACTTATATCCAACTTGTCGTTTTCCATAAGGATTCCACTTGAGGGTCTGACTAGCGTGCAATGTCAAAGTGATATGTATCCACATGATGTGTGTTTTGTTTTCGACAGTCTATTATATTTCGCTATGTGTATATGGATCGATATTTCATTATAACTGACAATGTGCTTTTGTCTGTTCACTAACTAAATAAACATGTATGACCTTGCTGTCACATGACATTACAACCAATCATGATAAGACTGTCTGTCTATTGGTTCATGTGTATTAGCCATTTTCATATATTCTTTTGTATTAGACATTTGTTTATTCTGCTTGTTCCCACGTTTCCGTACATTCGTACCATTTCACTCACACTCTTGTGTGACATTTATTTTCCTTGTCTGGAAAATACAAGTATCATCGTTAACCTGGTGGTCTTCTGATTTGCCTCTTTCCGCGTCAGGACTATAAACTACTCGACGAGTACATAACATAAGTGGCGACGGGGAAAACTCTAATACCTCACTCAGCAGCAGTACAAAACACAAAGTGTGTATCTAATCCATCTACATTGTTAGCCTGGTTGTCAAAGGTCAGGTATACAATGCTTCGGTGCGGGCTGTCTTGCCCTACGCCTGTGAAACCTGGCCTCTCCGAGCTGAGGATGTCCTGCGGCTCTGCGTGTTCGATCATCGCTGTCACCACAAGATTGCTTGCGTTCGATGGCATCATTGCGTCAGTAATTCTGAGGTTCGGCGGCGTGTGTTTGAACAAAGTGGAGATCACCATTCATTGAGTGTCGTCATCTGGAAACACCGGCACCGGTGGCTTGGACATGTGCTGCTAATGTTATCCCAGAGGCTTCCGTACAGGTCTCTGTTCGCTAGCCCTGGGATGGGATGGAAAAGGCGGAGGTGTGATCAGTACATGACTTGGCGTCGAGGGATGATTAGCATCGGTTGGTGCGTCACGACTCCCTGGTTGGAGTCCGCGAGATAGCTCAAATCGATGGCTCGAAACGTTATCAGACATGGCCAAGAATCGTTCTCTACTTATATATATATATATATATATATATTTACTTTTGATCTATGTTGTTTTATTATTATTTTGTGGCGCATCCTTCTTGGTGCCATATTGTACCAAGTTTTTTCTGCATTTAAATAAATAAATAAATCTAATACTTTGTTTCTCTACACATTTATCGGGTTGGTAATAGCTTTTTGGTTGGTATGTTGACTGACAGAGTATCGTGTCGGTTTTCCTTTTCGGCTGGTCATTTGAGCCTAAGTATCAAGACAGAGATACAAAGGGAGCATATGTCGATAGAAGTTTGCAGTAGCATGTTGGAGGAGCTTATTGTGACACACCACACCTCTGGATTATAAACAAGAACTGACCTGACATATTATTGCTAAAAATTTTGTTCCTTATGCTTAAGGCATTAGATTTCCACATTCATTTTCGAGTAATAAAGGTCTGCCCTACGTTTCCAATCCTGATTATGAGTTACTCATCCATATGTGGTGGAAACGATGCTGATTGGATGAGTGAAAGAGGTGACCTCCTTTAGACTTCTCCCTTTGATAGTGTAGGTGCTTTGATGATATTAGATGGTTGGAGGCGATCGGCAGGAAGCCTTGGACCTAGGTTTCGTGCTAGTTGGCACTCACCAGTCAGAAAGGCGTATCTGCAACCTTGAAGGAACTCATGTCCCTTTTGAGATTCGAACCCGTGTCATCCAGTGCTGCAGTCACAGATGTTACCACTGAGCTATTCGAACTGGCGATTGACCTCCTGTAGGACTGTAGTGGATATTTTGATTGGACACTAGTAACTAGTGTGATGTTTCTAGTCCTTTCTTTGGTGCAGACTGAATTTTATCAGTCAGGTTTGTAATGTGGCCACCATTCTAGGTAGCTCGCCATCACGGTGCACATTGATTTGATGATATTAGATGGCTGGAGGCAATCGGTAGGAAGCCTTGGACCTAGAACGATGACCACATTACAAACCTGATTGATAGAATTCAGTCTGCACCAAGAAAGGACTAGAAACATAACACTAGTTACTAGTGTCCAATCAAAATAGTGTAGGTGCTTGTTGTTGTCGATCCGGAATCTTCATCAGATCTGTCTTCTCTATGTCCACCTGAAGCCTTGTCTTCACTACCTTTTCTGATAACAACTTTTATCGGGTAACACACTTACAAATAAGTGATAACTGGAGAAGTCAGTTGTTAATTACTTTCTTAACTATCCTTTGTTGCTGTGTGTACTAGTTGTAGGTAGTATAGGTTTATACTTTGCTTTCTATGTCGTCACTCCAGTGAAACTTATCTCAATTAGTGTGTAAATATTCTATTTAGTTTATAGTAATTATGTTCTAATAGTTTGTGCGTTAGTGGTACAGCGGTAGAATGCTCACCGACCACGCCGGGATTCGATCCCCGGCCACCGAAGCACTCATTTACCTAGCTAAGTCAGTAATAAAGTTGGTAAAGAGGAAAGGTTAGGGGGCATGAGGCTAGCAACCCCATCCTGTAAAAATTAACACCACTGCTACCGAAACTTTTAGTCTCTAGCTTGAAGCCACCCTATGTTCCACTGGGAACGTAAATGAATTTTTAAAAAATGTTCTAATAGATAAGTATTATCCGTTGCACATGCTTTATTTACATTCAACTCTGTGTTGAAAATTGTTTATCAATATATCCAGGCATTCATATTCGCGTGCTGTTTAATACTCACTGCGGATTGCTTTCGCTCTGCTTTGGTATTCTTGGGACAATTGTTTAAAGCTGGTCAAGCATTGCTTATTACTTCAAGTGGCTTTTGGAGTTTTCTACAGTAAGTCAGCACTTAAATATTCTTCTTTAAGCGGAGCTACAGCATAGGTGGCTGGGACCATCGTTCCAAGACAACGCCTTTATTGTTATTTTATCCCTGTTCCCCAGGAGTATGAGTTCATCTTCATATTCCCAACATAATATGAACGAATAACCCGACAATAAAAGTAACTGCTTTTAGTCTAAATACTATTCAGATTATCTTTCTGGTGTGTTAGAACCTAAAGGAATCACCGTTCCATCTAGTATAGTTTGTTGGGTGTTGAATACAGTTGTTTACTACTCATGACAGACTTCTCATATACTCAGGCTATGACATATAACATTCATTGTATGAGTGAGAATGGTGGATGGTGCTGACAGATAACATTAACCAATCGTTTAAGTGTGAAGTAGAAGCATGTAGGATTCGAGACACTGAGATCTACCACTAACTGAAAATTCAGTATTTATGCCACTAAGGTCATATCTTAACATTATGAAATCCTCTGATAAAACTACACTGGCTGACTGCTGCACTTCGGTGCCAAGTTCTATGTTGAATCCAGACAGACACTGGCTGACTGAATAAGTTTCAGTGCAGAACACTGCACAAACCTTCAACAGTTAAGATTACCACACTGAGTACACCAAACCAAGGTAGAAAACAGATCATACATTTGTAATAATTAAAAGAAATGTGATTTAGAATATACCCATAAATCAATAAACAACATATTTGAAGACATCATATTCACCACGAGAGAAGAAGAATTAGGTAACAAAATCCCAGTTTTAGATGTCTTAATGAGGAGAACTAACACAGGAAATTTAGAAACACAAGTATACAGAACATCAACGCACTTGCACAGATCAAATACTCAACTATACTAGCAATAATCCAATTACTCATAAAAGAAAGTGTGTGCAGACATTGTTTAAAAGAGTTCAAACACACCGTAGCACTCCAGAGTTGGAAAGAACGGAAGAAAAATATCTACAAACGGTCTTCGAAAAGAATGGATATCCAAAAATTTCACCAAAAAGTGTTTAAAATCAAGTCACAACACCAACAAGGAACTATCATCAAAGACCACAAGAAAATTCGTCCTACCAAATATGAGAAATATCTCTGAAATAACAGCTAGACTATTAAAACCGTTTGATATAGATATAGCACACAAACCAGCCAGAGTAATCACTTCATTCGATATTGTGCAAACCGAAACATCCAGCAGAAACAGAAGGTTAATATCAATTACGAAATGAAGTCTATGAACTGTAACAGGCACCACATCGGCCAGAGTGAGCGTCTCCTTGGAATCAGAATCCAGGAACACAAATCAGCCGTCAAAAGACATGATATATATTCTTTCATATCAATGCATATGGATAATTATGGACATCAGTTTGATTGGGGGTGATGTCTAAATTTTAGATAGAGGAAACACCAAAAGTGCAGTCAGGGAATTCCTGGAAGCCTGGTATTCAAACGAATATACAATTAACAAACACGTTAATATATACGAAATATACCAAGTAATAAAAATTAAATCATGTGACGAGAAGGTTTTCAATTCAGGTCAATAGAAAATGATCAATAGAGATGTAAAGATGGTTACCGCAATTCTATGGCTCATGAAAAATTTAAATCATTTCACTTTATGCTAAAATTGCTCTAAAAGGGGATGTTGTCCAGAAGGACGACGAGAGCTCCTCAACTAAACCAACAAGCTCAGAGAACACTATTAACTGCAAAACAATTATAATAATCAGGTGTACACAGGAGAAGGAATGAAACAGATGGAAAAACACGAGGCTTTAACACAGATAATGAGGGACTACAAAGAGTGAATGCAACTGCTCCATTGACAGTGATTTTCAGACATATCAGTCCAAGCAAGCAGTCTACACCTTCCTACGCGCCTGCTTCAAAGACTGACAGCCAATCAATTTGTTGATTGGTGGCCAGTTCAAATGTGACCATCCAATCTGATTCTCCCTTCAAACTTAATTCTATGTCAGTGAGCGACTGCTGAATGAGGAAAGTGGGTGAGCCGGAATACGTAACACGTATTGTCCTAGTCATTGAAATCGATGTCGTATCACAACTTTATCGATTCTGTAGCTATATTATCTAGACCATACACTAATATAGGCATGATAAATATATATATATATATATATATATATATATATATATATATATATATATAACTCATATAGCAATATATTATAAATCACAACTCACTTTGTCTATACTTAAAGTAAAAGGTTGACCAAAGCATAGATTACTACTTAAATCAGTAGTTAAGACGTCACAACTTGGTATTTGACACCAATGTATCACCCAGCCATCAGTTTGGGAATTCGCGGATGTATTATCAGTCAGAAAAGTGGTCCCGTTCACTTGAAATTGATGAATCTAAAAAGAGGAAAGCTTAAAAATATCAAATGAGTGAAAAATCTAATAGATGATGAACTATATGAAACAATTAAATAAACAGCAGAAAACGCTATACAGCATGTAAGTATTCAAAGTGAATACAGGAGTAAGATAAGGGTGTTTGCTTATCATCACCAACGGTGATATTCCTAATTGTGGTGGACTGGACTCTGCATGAAAGCTAGAAGACTGGAATACGCTTCAGTGACCGATAAGAAGACACTGTCTAGAAGATGTGGATTTCGCGTGTGGATGATTCATGTTTAATGTCACACAAACTCGAAGACTTGCAGATGAAGGCCAACGAACTGGCAGAAGAGTCTGGCTGGCTGGCTATCAGCATAGACAGGACTGCAGATGGACACAGAGAAGACGGAGACGATGAAGACAAACAACGAAACGGAACAGCAACAACAACCGGCACCAATCACTATCGACAGCATAAACTTCAAAGAGGGTGTAAGTATAAAACTTGGGCACTGTGGTAGAGTATAACTCCACTATAGATAAGATTTTTTTGGAAAATCGCACACACAGAAATGACTCAATGCCAGAAATATGGAAAATATTATTATCACCAGTCAGTCAAATCAGAAGAGGATAATAAATAATCTCAAAGTTCTATTTCAATTCACATACATTATAACATTCTAACAAATTACTTATTATGACTATAAAAACAGTCGTCTTATTTCCTATCTAATTGTAATTGATGACTAACACTCGTACTATTATTTCTGAATGTACATTATCCTATACTGATTTTTATTCCAATATTCAATCGATTCCACACATGATATCATTTCGCGGTTTCTTTACAACCGCTTTACAACTAACATGGTTAACATTAATAAAATAAAATTCATGACAATTATTCAGTTATATGAAAACAAAAGCTTCTGTACCAGAGAGAGCTATCTTTATTAACCTACCATTAAAGGGTAACCAGATTGTGCAGTTGACAGCTAGCTCAAAAACTTCCGTCAGTCATCAAACGTACATTCTACGCCGCATCTCTTCCAACCCCCCACATGCCGAATATTTTCAATTCCTTTACCTACGAGTTAAGGAAGAAATTCTGTCGAATCTACTTCAAACTGTATCTACAAGTTCACATGCAGTTGCGGTGACACACACCTATGTAGATAGAACCAACAGAATGCTCCAATGTCGTCGAAAGGAACATGTTCCAAAATTGCGGTTATTAAAACAAATAGAAAATCCCTATGCAATTATTAATCTGAATAGAAATCCAGTATCATCCATTGCAAAACACTTATTAGTGTCAGGTCACAAAATCAACAATAATGACTGTTTCACAATTATTTCATCACATAACTCTAATTCAAGGTTTGTTATGAAAGGTGATGGAAGCGCTTTGGATTAATCACATACTACAGCCTAATCTGTGTGTACAAAAAGACACAATAGACTTCAGCCTTCGCCTCCCATGAACTGACTACCTGACCTATTTAAAAATATGATTGGTCATTAGTATGTACTTTAGTTTTTTTTATATAACTGAGTAATTGTCATGATCTTTATTTTATTATTGTGAACTATGTTAGTTGTAAAGCGGTTGTAAAGAAACTACGAAATGACGATATCATTTCGCGAAATTAGTCAAATTATTCAAATTTATCAAAGGGACTAATTGTTTTAATCATCTCATATTGCAAGAACTTGAAGATTTACAAGAGAAAAGTAACATGTTGACAGAGCAGTCAGAGAAGACGAGATTTCAGGTGAACAATGGTAGAAGACAGGAACAACAATCACTTCCTCACACAAAGCAGGAAGCTTTGGATAGTGTTATTAGAATAAGACGGAGATTATCTGAAAAAATGTAATGTATATGCGCTATACATTTCGATCAGTATGATCCCTCATATATTTACTTGTCAAGTCGATATATATGGGAAAAAATTAAGGGCAATTTAAATTAAAGTGACAAAAAAAGGATTTAAGAATGATTAACACGTTTGGTAATCCAATCAGATAAAGATTACCAAGGTAGGTTAAGAGCAACAATAAACTGTTTTTGTATACATAGGGGGGGGGGCTTAAGTTTATGAGTAGCCTCAGAATACTTCAACAAGTATATATGTATATATATAAGTTTGACAGCGAGTGGAAATACTAGAATGCGATAATATTGGTGCATAGGATTATGAGTCACAATTGAACTCCCTAGATAGATGAATGAATTACTAAATAACTAGAGGTCAACTCAAAGTTCAATAAACATACGTGAAATAGATGATCGGAATATGAAGTACATTTGGAAATGTGAATATGTATGATGGCGACATAGGATGAGTAAAATGTTATCAAAGTAGTAGACTATATAAAAATGTTACGTGAAGTGCATAGTAAAGTTGACATGTATCGATATAATATATGTGTTTGTTTGACAGTCTGTCCTTGGTGATATATATTTTTGCTCTCACACTCTTGTGGGACATTTTGATTCTCCTTGTGTTTGGAAAATAGAAGTATCATCGCAAACCTAGTGGTCTTCTGATTTCCGTCTTTCTTGCGTCAGGACTATTAAATTCTCGACCAGTACATAACAATAATTTGGCGACGAGTACATAACAAAAGTCAAGGCCATAATAACGACAGAGATCGTACACATTGTTTTTGTACTCAAAGTTCTGGCTTTATGTTTTGTTATGTTTATGTTACTGCTAAAGCCTCTCTGCTACACAAAGCAAATGCACTCGTCTCCCTTTCGGCAAACTTTGTAGGACCTTATAGACTATACTGGACGATGTGTCAGATGCTGCGTGGTCAGTATCTACAATATGTTGCAATATGGATGAATTAATGCCTCTACGTTCTCCTTTGCTCAGCCAAACCGGGAGGTCTTTCCGTACGCGGCGGGATATTTTTCTCAACAAAGGCCCTAATGTTCCTAGCCCCATAAGAACAGGTGAAAATATAAATACACATGGAATTAGACATTTCCTTGACATTAATGTGCACCAGTGGACGGCTAGAGTAGGTTATTTGTAACGTGGCAGCAAAGAACGTTTTTCTCAATGACTTCGTCAGACGATTTTTAAGTATTTCACTAGCAGAGTCACCCCTAAATTCTAAGTTAAGGTGCAACACTTTTTTAACTATCATATCAATCTCTGTATTTCTTCCATGTACTTCGCTATTGGCCTCTACGAAGCGTAGTGGATGCCTGTTCTCTATGAAGGTTTCCTTTAGTTGTTTGAGTTCAGTATCAACACTATCTTCCCTACGAATTCTCCGCAGCCCGTGTTGAGAGAGGACAGATTACATTCCTTTTTCTGTCTACGGAGGTAAAACTGTTAAAATTGGTCAGTTGTCCCGTCCACATCGATTTTCTGTAAGCAGATCTTTTCAAAGACCCGTCAGCTCTCCTTTTGAATAGCACATCAACGAAAGATATTTTTCCTTCTGTTTCCTTTTCTAGGGTAGACTGGATAGTAGAACAACTATCACTGAATAGTTTCAGCATGTCATTCAAGCCGCGGTTCTTGTCGCATATAATAAACATATTTTATTTAAAAAGACGATTTGATGCTTCTCTTCGAAGTAATCTACAGGAAGCCAATATGGAATAGTTAATGCACGAATTCTCACAGCTGCTTCATCTACGTCCTGGGACTATTCTCACCAGTGAGCATCAACAACTCTACAGAAGATGAAAATCTGCAACCATCAGGTTACGTGACCAGCCCACTGGCGATTTAAATTGAAGGTCCTGAGTGAATCTCCTCCCCCGTGGTTAAAATTCTTGAAGCGTCTCCTACTGACCGAAGGAGTGTGTTTTTAATGTAGAACTCGGCAGAGAAATGTAGCATATCACTTCAGTCACATTCCATGTAGAATTTAACAGTAGACAAAAAATTGGAAGGAATTATAATTTTAAAAATGTACGACAGAAGGAATAGTTACGCAGAGAATAATGAGAATGTACAGAGATCTGAGGGTTAGTGAAGAGTGGATGTAACTGCGCCATTGAAAACGATTTTCAGTCATGAAACCAAAAGTCTCCAGCCATTCTCTATTGGCATCTTCATGACCCCAGCCAGGCAATATACACCTCCTACACCGCCACGTTAAACGGACGATAACAGATTTCACAGATTGATTCCAGTTTTAGAGTTAACCATCCTACTGAACTCTTTTTCAATTTTTTCCTATGTCAGATAATATCATTCGTCGGTAAAGACGGTGGCTTGATATATGTAACAAGTTCCCAGAGAACTTAATCGGGCGACTGACTGACTTCCCTACTTATGTGACATACTACGCCTATTCTCAATATTATTACTCGCAATATTATACCACTTAACATGAGGGAGAAATAGGGTAAGAATACAAATATTTAAGGTCAAAGGTATCGATTCTCTTCATGTCTGCCATCATCAAAGGTCAAGTCTCACAGTCATAAAGGAGAACAGAGCAACATGCTGCTCAGTACGCACGTCTACTGTTCGATAGCCGGATATCACGTATACGTCAGAGATGAGGGAGTTTGGTGAATGCCACATGGCCTTTAGGATGTGTGCTGTGATTTCAACCCCGACCAGTTCATTGAAGCTGAAAAAATTTCCTGAATAAGTGAAGTGGTCAACTCACTCAACCACTTCACTTTTTACTCGTCGAATACGAAGTCGATGCAGAATAAATCGCATGCGACAATTATACATCTCATCCAACAGTTATACGACAATGCTGCATTCCAAGTAATCCACAACGGGAAACTTACAGAAGCCTTCGAAGTGAGGACAAGAGGAAGACAATCTGGCTGCCTACTATCGCCAATGATCTTCCTGATTGCAGCAGACTGGATAATGCGACAGACAACGGGCACAGCGAGGAAACAGGCATAAAATGGACTCACACAAAAAGGAACTTGGAGGATCTGGACTTCGCCGATGATACCTGTCTGATTTCCCACAAACTGGAAGATATGCAAGTGAAAAGCAACAAGCTGGCAGAAGGAGCATTCAGAGAATATCAAACTTCAAGTGAACATAGATAAAACAGAGGTGATGAAGATTCCTGGCCAACACCAACAGCCACTACAACAACAACAACAGACAACAATCAGCCAGCATAAATGGGAGGAACCTGAAAGAAACAACCTCCTTTACCTACCCACCTACCTGGGAGGCATAGTTTCAACTACAGGCCAACGGAACTGACGAGGATATCAAAGCCGGAATCGGAAAAGCAAGACAGGCTTTCATTACCCTTAAGTCTGTGTGGAGGTCAACAGCACTGTTCAACATCCAAAATAAGATCTGGATTTTCAACTCCAATGTGAAGTCAGTCAGTGCTACTCACTATACGGATCAGAGACTTGACCAGCGCGTCATCAAGAGCATCTCCAACAAACTTCAGACCTTCATTAACAGTTGTCTTCGATCAATACTCAAGATCAGATGGCCGGCCAGAAAAGATCAGCAACAAAGATCTCGGGGAGCGAACCAACCCATCAGGAACCGATTGCGAAACAAATAGGCAGGAAAAAATGGAGATGGATTGGCCATACTCTGAGGAAACGATCAAGTGCGTCGGTGGGCACAGTGGTTAGGACTCTTGCCGACCACGCACATGGTCTGGGTTCAATCCCCTGCCAACGCACACCTGATACCAATGGTCGGCCTGCGAAATTTGGCTACCGATATCCACGCTGAAAATTCCATACCAAAAAATACGGTGTGGAATCAAGCTGTAATCAAAAAGAAAAAAAAGTGACATCACTAGACAAGTCATTGCTATAGTGGAACCCGAAAGGAAAGCGCGAGTTGGTCGTCCAAGGGTGACTTGGAGGAGGTCATGCGAAGAGGAGATGAAAACATGTGGACAGACTTGCAGCCAGGTGAAAACTCTAGCAGAGAACCAAACGCAATGGAGACGCGCGCCTGAAGCCCTATGTTCCTCTAGGAATTAAAGGATATAATAATAATAATAAATACTGTGCACTGTATTGTCATGCCAAAAATTCGAAGATTTCCGCTAAAGGTGTTCAGAGGACGCTACACATCTAATTAACATCTACACCTAGTAAAACAGTATCATCCCCATACTCTAAGTCAACAAGATTGATACCAAGTAACAATTCAATCTCTAGGTCGATAAAGTCAGTTAGGGTAAATTCCATTAGTACATCAATGATAAAAGTAAACAATAGCAGAGAAAGTATCACCCCCTCCCTTCACAATGTGACAAATTAATTGCACACCTACACGGAACAAGGTGAAAAGTAGAAAAAACGTACTGTCTTACCTTAGAAGGCGAATAAATAAACCCAGTATCACTGTCTTGACCACCGGATGATGTGAAAAAATTAGTTTGTTCAAAAATAAAGCCTATTGAATCCTTGCTAGTGGTGTTCAAGTGAGTAATACTCTCTTGTATTTCTTTTGACAATTTTTCAATATATGAACTTAAATCCGCCTGATTTGTTATCAGTGTAAAGTCTTCTCCTGAAGGTATTAAAACTCCCAATAAATGTGTTTGACAATCAGGAAAATCTGTAAAACAGAAAAAAAGAGGGATTTTAGATTTTGATTACGAACTGCCTGTCTGTCTGTTTTCGATATAAAACTTTGCACCGATGTGCATCAGTTTAAGTCGCCACACTCCTCCCTTGTAGCACATAAAGCAAGAGAAGAAATGCATAAAAGAGAAAGTACACAGAGGTGTGAGACAAAGGAATAGTAGTAACGAAGAGCAACATGGTTTCATTGGAAATCATAAGTCACAAGGAGTGGATGCATCTTCACCAGCCAGCCATTGAGAACGATCATTTGAGCTAAATCACCGATTGTCGCCAACCATTGGTTTTTACCGTCATGAGAACCCCAACCAGTCAGGAAGTCGACACCCTCCTACGTGGCTGGCTGGCTTAAACCAACTGTTGTGGATTTCGTTGACTGATGAAGCCATGTTTTTGTTTGACCGCCGCTAGCTCTTTTTCAGCCTGGCCCTATATCAGCTAACATTGCCCGTCGAGGAAGGAGATGACTAGGCATACATAACATATGTCCTAACCATCTCTCTCAGTCGATGTAATTTCACAGCCTCGTCGATTGATCTCCTCTCCTTACCTTCCTAGCACTCGACCGCTGCCTAACCTCAATATTGCTCACCTTATTATACCATTTCACACGGGAGATAGAACGCAGGCACCTATGATCAAAGACAGATAATCTTTTCATGTCTTCCACTTTCAATGGCCAGGTCTCACAGCCATGAAGGAGGAGGAGCAGTACACACGCCCTTTGGTTGACAGCCAGCCGGATATCACGTCTACACCAGAGACGGTGTAAACTGGCATATGCGAAACTAGCCCCCTGTATTCGCGCTGAGATTTCGTCAGAGATCAACCCGTTGGGGCTGATGGTACTTCCCAAATAACTGAAGTGGTCAACGTGCTCTACCACTTCACTCCCTATTTCTAAACTAGGAGTCAGTGTATTCCAGTCCTGTAACATAATCTTGCATTTGGTGGGAGCGAATCGCATGCCAAACATTCGTAGATTGCAGCTCGAGGAGTTCAGAAGTCTGTGCATTTTGTCAGCATCCCCGCCTAGAAGGACTATATCGTCTGCACATTCTACGTCAAGGAGATTATCCCCTGGTAGCAAGTCAATCCCTGAGTCTCTGATTACGAACTGACATTAATTATAGAAGTATTGTAAAGCAGCATCACGGAATACTGAAAAAATGTTTATTTCTAGTTCTGGACTGTTAAGCAGTACTCCCTCACGCACGACACCATCAGGGATCAAACTCCAAAACTTCAACTAACGAGGCCGACCAGTTGAGCATTCAGCTACTGGGACGGAGTCCAATGCCTATCAAGAAATATAGAGCACCACCACCACCACCAACCAATGTCATCAGCAAGTACCTGTCTTTAAAAACATTCAACTCGATAAAAGCCCCTCGATTGTGACTCCTCATCAGAACTTGAAAATCAGACTCCTGTAGTCCATTACTAGTGAACAGCATACTAATGGATGACGTGCAACAACAATAGTATTATTGTAAAATAAGCTAAATAGACGGTACCTAAAGAACGCCATTTCACTTTTCCACTTCCCTAATGGTCCGAAAAAGTTGACGAGCACTACAATTAATAGCGTCCTCTGAGCTGGTTGGTTTAGTTGCGGAGCTTTCGTCATCCTTCTGGACAACATCTTCAGTGCAATTTCTAGCATAAAGTGAAATGATTTAAATTTCTTTATGAGTGATATACTTGCGTCTCCCGGTAACCATCTTTACATATGTATTGATCATTTTCTATTGACTTGGATTTTAAACTTTCTGGTCACATGATTTACTTTTTATTAGTTGGTAGATTTGGTCTACATTAACGTGTTTGTTAATTGCACACTCGTTTGAGTACCAGGCTTCCAGGAATTCCCTGACTGCACTTTTGGTGTTCTCTCTGTCCAAGATTTCGACATTATCCCAATCAAACTGATGTCCATAATTCTCTACATGCATTGATATGAAAGAATATATGTCATGTCTTTTCGCGGCTGATTCGTGTTTCTGGATTCTGATTTGAAGGCGACGCCCACTTCGACCACCGATGTAATGCCTGTTACAGTTCATACATGCAATTTATTTTGTAAATGGTAATAATTTTATCTCCTTTTTGTTTTGGATCTCTCAGTTTGCATAATATCGAATTAAGCGATTTGCTAATTTTGTCACCGACTGTTCCAAGTTGTTGAGAAGACATTATTATCACCTATTTTCTTCCGAACCTGCTGGCATCAATGTTCTTGCACATACCAAAATGCTTCTACGGGTATAACAAAACCCAATTCCTTGGAATAAAACTTACCTTCAGACAACCAACTAACTTTCATTGCTATAAGTATAAAACGTGGGCACTGTGGTAGACTATAACTCCATTATAGATAAGATTAGATTTTGATAAATCACACAGTGTTGTATAATAAGTAATATTAACTCATTACCACGTTTAGAGAAGAAATTATTACTGCTCATAATCATATCAAGTCACTCATTGCCATTTGTATAATGGACGAGACATAATGCCAGACTGTACGTCCGAATAACTGAGTTTCCATATAGAGCTGATAAAGAGTGAACATATCTGTGCAAACAAAAACGATTTCGAGCAGCGTCACTAGTCTCTCCAATATAATGTTTCTTTACGCAAGGAGGATCACGATCGGGCAGTCTACTCCTCTCTCTCTCTATGTGGCTGGTTCACATCGACAGTCAAAGACTTCACAAATTAGCGTCATGTTTTGATTTGGCTACCCTACACCCTACCTAGCCCTTTATTTTAAAATTAACTGAATGAGGTAGGCAATGAATTAGCAAAGACAGTCAGCGTGTCTTAAGTGTGTCAATCGATTCAGTTTCGCAAAGTCATTAAGTGACTTCTCCACAACTAACACACTATACTTTACTTAAAACAATTTGTCCCTTTGATAAATTTGAATAATTTGACTAATTTCGCGAAATGATATCGTCATTTCGTAGTTTCTTTACAACCGCTTTACAACTAACATAGTTCACAATAATAAAATAAAGATCATGACAATTACTCAGTTATATAAAAAAAACTAAAGTACATACTAATGACCAATCATATTTTTAAATAGGTCAGGTAGTCAGTTCATGGGAGGCGAAGGCTGAAGTCTATTGTGTCTTTTTGTACACACAGATTAGGCTGTAGTATGTGATTAATCCAAAGCGCTTCCATCACCTTTCATAACAAACCTTGAATTAGAGTTATGTGATGAAATAATTGTGAAACAGTCATTATTGTTGATTTTGTGACCTGACACTAATAAGTGTTTTGCAATGGATGATACTGGATTTCTATTCAGATTAATAATTGCATAGGGATTTTCTATTTGTTTTAATAACCGTAATTTTGGAACATGTTCCTTTCGACGACATTGGAGCATTCTGTTGGTTCTATCTACATAGGTGTGTGTCACCGCAACTGCATGTGAACTTGTAGATACAGTTTGAAGTAGAGTTCAGATGAATTTCGTCCTTTAATCGTAGGTGAAGGGATCAAAAATGTTCGGCATGTGAGAGAAAAAGATGGGGCGTCAATATCACTCACTATACTACATCATCTAATATCCAAATGAGTATCATCCGTATTAGTCAGGTAATATTTAGTTATCCTTCTCTTCAAATTCAGACATAACATTCTCATAAGTATAACTAACTTACCATACAGATTATTTGTATAGCCAATACCAGAATCTGATTTACGTTGGAAGTTGTATTTCAGTGAGTCATTTGTGAACGGTACATTTGAATTGTGCAATTGACGTGAAATAACACTGGCAGTATTTGATGCCTTGAAACGTTTAAATGTTGACAATTTTGATTGATCGTGTGAAGATTTCGCTTCAGTTGATAATGGCAATGGAGGGAGAAGACCAGCCCACCGTGATTGTGCACAAATCATATCCCAGCTTAAATGATAACCATATTCACCATTCATAAGCTTCATTACTCGTTCCGCTAGATGAATAATAATAATAATACTCTTAGACAAGCATGTTTCAGCTACTTTTAAGTAAATTCGCACATTCCGTCATATGTGCTGGACAGAGACCAAAGTATTTAGTTTTCAATTACATTATGTGTAATATTTGTTTTGATAGAGTCTCACAGTGTTATACAGTAATGTTTACTGATGACGGTTCGAGCACAATTTACTGCTCATAATCATATCAAGGTATTCACACGACTTCCTAACTTCATTTATATAGTTCCGTTATTTTTCACTTGATTTGATTGACAGTAGTATTTTCCATATTTCATGCTTGAGTGATGAATCATTCATATTGCATGTGTTGGGTGTAGACCCACCATGCCATCGTGTGGTTGTATGTTAATGCATGCATTGCAAATGCTGAGCTTTTTTCTAAATTACTTATCTTCTCGGGTAGGGTCAACCATTCCTACCTTAGCTAAATTCGTATGTTCTGATAATCCGACTACCCCTGACCTACTAGTTTGACCGATGTAGTTGACCTCACAGTCACTGCAAGGTATTTTGTAAATTATATTATTTTGTTTAATTGGGTCCTCCGGGTCTTTCAGCCTACAGAGCTTGCCTGTGAGTGAGTTTGTAGGTTCCAGTGCCACCACCCTAATTCCTGCTTCATTAAGAATCCTACGTACGGTCTCAGATGTCCCCTCTTTATATGGTATAACTGTAGATGACTTATATTCTCTCTTATTTATGTTATTATTACTAGTTTCACAATTGTTTTTAATTTTCGTTTGGTCTTTTATAAAATTTTTATAAAATTCATTAGGAAGATCAAAAAAGTGTGCTGAGTGTGTGGGGTGGAGTTGTAAGGATGCAACAGAAGTAGGATGTTTCCCTCGTACAGCTGGCAAGTTAGCTATGTCATGCCACTACTCTCGTAAGGGGAAAGTGCGATAGAAACGGTCGACTTCGAAAGTTGTACATACCGAATGACCTTTTGAGAATCTGCGGCTGACGGTAATATGTTCAAAAGGAAAGAACTCAACGTTCTTGTTTTTTTTAAGATGTGTGGTTGCTAACCTTAAACTCAACTTTCCCTTTTTTCTCCCTGTTTCAGGATTGCTTCGTAAGGAATTGGAACTCGTACCAACACGCTGCCATGATTGGTGGGCGCATTCTACCTATCACTGAACTGTCAACCCACCTAGAGCAAAAACAGAAGGAACATAAATAAACCTCCCTGTTTCTCTGCCTTACTCGACAATCGTATTTCATTATTGCATTCTTCTAAACATCGATTAAATGACTGCTCCATTTGTAGTAACCGAGGTGCGAAGGACGTTAATTCTTCATTGACGACAGATTCCATCTATGCAAAAAGAAAAAAACAAATGAAAAGAAATGAAATCTTTTTATATCCCCCTCCCCATTGCAAATTTCTGCTAATCTTAAGACAATTGTAGTTTGCAGACTCCAGGCAGCAGGTAACATCTGAGAAATAACACAGTCGTATATACCTGTCATCAATCGACTTGAAGGCTATTGCATTTCCGTATCGAATACGAATCCCTACAGTATTATTATTTAAAGAAATACAAAAGGAGTCACTGTAATACCTACTAATGAACAGAGACAAAGTTATGAAGCTTGGTGACCCCAAACAACGCACACTTAACGACGAAGTAATTCAGCTAGCTCCATCACTAAAAATAAGGATAAGACACAAAACACTGGTGTGACTCCCCTGGTGAAAAATTAAAGCATGTATAATAATCCCTACAACAACTCAATAATGAGTCCCAATAACTTAGTGACAATGTCTCCTTGCTGCACAATTGTGAACGACACGGGTAACGACTTCCGAGGAAGGGATATCAGTTTCAACGTGGTTCCACATACATCACATGCTGACAAGTCCTAGTCAGTAAGCAAGGTCCAAGTTGGATGGATGATTATCGAGAGAGTTCTCAGGCACATCTTGAAATGTGGCACTAGTGCAAATAAGTGCTAAACCCAGATTAGAGAAACATGGATTCCCTGATGATTGCCTACAACCAATTAACATTTTAGAATAAGCAATAACAACCAAAATATCTACATTTTGCATCCAGTTTCCTGTTTACCAGCATACACTTATCACTTAAATATGAATTCTAACAGAATCATTTACTCTCGTAACTTTATTAATAATTTACGACCAAATGACTTTCATATTCCAAAGAAACCAAGAAGGAAACATCGTAGTGGTTGGCAGAGAGCTCTCAAACGTACACCAATACACTTAACTACGGTCCCCGTCATAATGAACTCAAACTGTCGCTCTCTACCAAATAAGATAATGTATCTACAATCCCTGATGTCAACTGATACGTATCATAACACTGCCATAATCGCATTACAAGAAACGTGGTTGCATGAACTGTATGATGACAACCTTATCTCACTAAAGGACTTTATTTTATTTCGACAAGACCGTCAATGTTGTAATAAGAAAAATGGTGGTGGCGTTGCAACTTTTATTCACTCCAAATGGTCTGTCTCAAATAACATCTGCTTCACCTTCTCAAATGACTTCATTGACTGTATTACTGTCAAATGTCGCCCCAAACACCTCCCCAAATATCAACAATTCTATATTACAAACATGTACATTTCTCCTAGTTGCTCTCCATCTGATCTATCTAATTTTGCTGATGAATTCACCATGTTTGCTGCTGCCAACTTCGACAACTCTCTATCCGTTATTACTGGAGACTTCAACACATCAGATTGCTCCTTTCTTGAAGCTCTTGGTCACACAAACATAGTCAAATTTCCCACTCGACTTGACAAAACCCTTGACTTGGTTTTTACCAATGATGAAGGAGTATATGAAACACGTAGACGTTCACCGATACATAACTCCGATCACTGCATTGTCCGCGTTTTGCCAAAAATATACAGCAAAACACATATTAAAATCTTCTCACACCTGTCCACGAAGGCACAACAAAGAAGCTACACATCTGACAACTTACTCAATCTAAGATGCATGTTAAAAGATACCAACTGGGATCTATTCTATGAAAGTACATTAGATGACTCAATCACCAATATAATGGATTATCTTAAGTTCTGCCTTGACATATGCTGTCCCAAACAAACACTGTTCAAACGCCTCGACCGCTTTTCGTCTCCCCATCTCAAACAACTTCGCAGGCAAAAAGAAATGTTATATAAATGCAAAGACAAGTTAGGACTTAAAAAGATAAATGCTCAAATCAAATCTGAAATCAAAAATCTTAATGCTATCTATAACCAAACACTTTTATCATGCAAATCTCCAAACAGCATGTGGAAACTTTTCAATGAAATTACTGGCAATAGTAAGCGATGTAATGTTTTTCCCTCTTGTGATGTTAATGCTCTTAATCTGTCTTTTATACGCTCTCCTTCTACCATAACCACTTCTAATGTTACCAATCTTGTAGCTGATAACTTCCAGGACTTCAATACTCTCGATGTTTTGAAATGTCTTAAAACTCTTAAGCCCTCACATAGTCTTGGCCCTGATGGCATACCTGCATATGTCCTAAAACAATGTGCAGATGCTTTATGTTCTCCTCTAACTAATATCCTAAATGCTTCTTTCTCCGAAAACGTTGTACCTGTTCCATGGAAAGACATTAAAATAGTCCCTGTCCCTAAACCTGGAAATAGCAAGAACGTAAAGTTCAGACCCATCGCCATCACTTCCCCGTTTCTAAAGCTCATGGAAAAACTAATACTTCTTAAACTCGAACCCTCCCTTAAAAGCTTCGAAGACCCCAAACAATTTGCCTACAGACAGGGTAGGAGTACTTTAGACGCTGCAGCCGTCTTACACAACAGTATTGTCTCATCATTAGACAAAGGTGCCAAATATGTCCGCTGCACGTTTCTTGACTTTACTTCTGCTTTCGACTCTGTACCTAGAAGTCTCTTGCTAAATAAGCTCTCCACGACACAAACCGAGTCTTGGGTCACTAAGTGGTTGCATTCCTACTTTTCAAACAGAATGCAGTACACCGTATACAAAGGTCAATCCTCCTCTGCTGTGCTCACTGAATCTGGTGTCCCCCAAGGTGCTGTACTCTCCCCACTTCTCTTTTCATTCTTCCTACATGACCTACCGTCTTCAAATGATATTAACTTTGTCAAATATGCTGATGACCTAACTGTATCTTTACCTGTCAAATGTCAAAATGACTGCTCTAAACTAAATGGCTTCTTATCAGAAATTAGCCAATGGTCCAAGGAAAACGGTCTAACCTTAAACCCCTCCAAATGCCAAACAGTTAATTTCACCTTTAGGCATAAATCTGACCTAAACAAACTGGTTAGCGCTCACGAGGTGTGCAACATAGATGGCACTGAAATAGAAACTAAGTCGGAAATTAAATACCTAGGCGTCACTCTATCTTCTGATCTTTCCTGGTCGTCTCATATCTTGACGATTTCCAAGAAAATATACCGTCTTACCTTCTACATCAAGAAGTTAAGACATTCTGGTGTAACCCAACCCTTACTACTACAATTTGTTAACTCCCGTATTCTGCCTATAATTCTCTATTGCTCCCCCTTAGTCTTTCCTGGGCTATTGAAGAAAGACTATACCTTATTACGTAGGATGTTAAAGGTTGTCAGCAGGGTAAGCAGTTTACCACTTAGCCAGCTTGTTAACATTCTGGTGGACAGGCACATGGACTCATGTGAAAAATGGGCGAAGTCCATTTTATCTGACTCACAACACCCTCTACACTCACAACTCTCCCCATGTATCTCTTCAGGGAAAACAAGAAGTCTATATAGGAAACTATATGCCCGCACTAGTAAGTACAAAAACTCATCCATACCCTACCTAGCCCGTGTTCTGTGTGATAAAGAATGCATCAGGCATGAAACCTTTAACTTATTAAATAGTCACTAGAACCAATGAATCTCGTCTTTCCAACTCACATCATTTATGGGTACAACGTTTTCTCTCTTTTCCATTCTCTCTATTTTTTGTCTTTATTTTTGTTATGTGCTGTTTTGTTTTTCTCTTCCTTGCAAACTCTACTTAAAACATTCTTGTTGTTCTTTTACACTCTGTATATCTCGACCATTTTGCTATCGCTTACGCCAGTAAATATGCTAGTAGTATCTACTTTTGTAACACCTTCAAACATTTTAATTTTGGCTTTGCTACCGACATACTAATATGTTGTTGAGATAATCTTTAATCTATGTAGAACTTTATTTATTGTTAATGTAAAAACTGGATGCAATATTGTAGTAAAATGCTGAGAATTCCATTCTGTATCACAAGTACTGATTTGGAATAAAGCTTATATAATAATAATAATAATAATAATAAAGATATATAAAAAACGAATAAACCTACTTGTTCAGGTGTCAAACCATCTGAATTCCCACTGGAATTAGGTCCCCTTACAGCATTCATACTATTAAAGTAGGCATGAAGTTTGTGAACATGTTGTTTAGCTACTTGACACACTAAAGCACCAAGTAGAGATTTCACTTTCTCCGATGAATTCCTGTCGAGCACCAGAGAGTTATCAAGACCAGTTAGTGCTGAGGCACGAAATGCTCGATACATCAGTTGGCGAATTTTAAGCGATAAACCTTGACGTCCAGGTAGCAGACCATCAGCTAAGGCGAATGCTATGGCCCGACTATGATCTACTAATATTCGATAAGCTGTATCTCTATGCCATACATCCAAAAGATCATTTTGGCCACTATGTCTGTCTTTCCAAGACTGGTCTGAAGCAAGATGGGATTTTGAACAAAGAGCCTAAAAATATATGCATATAAATGACACTCAACAATAGGAAGAATTATGAAGTACAAATACATTAATCATCACAAAGACAGATATTGAGAGACGAAAAAAAATTAAATCTCTGCGATAAATATCCAAAGACGATGACAAGCTTATGAGTGCCACTAATGATTTTGAGTTGGCTGACGAACTGATACATCAGATGAGTAATGGAGAATGATGCTCAGAAAGGCTTCGTGTGCTCTTGGAAGTGTGTGGGCGGTTGTTACTTCCCGACTCCCAAACCAACCATGGAAGTTGATTGATTCTTCGGGTACCTAAAACAGAAAGAGGGTTAGTGTTGCGTGACCGCAGAGCCCAGGGACAACTGCTTGAGGCGGGCCTGTATGAACTAGTTTCCGGGATTGGTTCCGTATTAGCAAACTTACCGCCGGTTACGGACCACCGTAGGGTAAGTCAGGGGTCGACCTTTTCTAACCCCCTCCCTCCGGAGTGGAGAGACAGCATAGCTGGCTGGCATGCTGGTTATCTGAGGGAAACACCTCATTGCTGTTATACCCTTGTTCCCCAGCAGTACGACTTCGCCCTCAGATCACCAGCATAGGGTAAGAAAGATTCTTACACAATGCCGGTAACTGCTTTTAGTCTAATCTCTATCCTAACAACCTTCCTGGCATGGTAGGACCTGCAGGAACATCGGTTCCAGCCAGTGTAGCTTGTTGGGTAATCACGATGTGCAAGCTCACACACCCTGTCAAGGTAGCAGTTATCGGTCAGAATCACTAAAACACAGGAGAGCATTGGAGAGCTGTTTCGGTCGCCATATTTAGCACTGTTCAGTAGTAGTATGCATTCATCCTCAGTTCACTAGGGATTTAACTCAGGATCTCCAAGTTACGAGGCGAAACTGTTCATCATTCTCACCCACTGGGATGGAACTCACTGACTATTCGCGGTATACATGGCGCCATAGCACTGTCACCCAATAGCATCAATGAGTATTTGTTCTAAACACCCGACACCTTGATGCACCCCCGCCACTGATCACAACTCTTCACTAGAACTCCAGGCAGCTTCGTCCTAGGTTAAGTCGATCTTCTCGCAACAGATTTAGTTATTTGTGGAAGATGTAGGCGAACTATGCATGATAACAACTCTAGGATTTTGTGCACAACTCTAAAAGCTATATTAGCCTAAATGCAATATTGTATTTATTTACCAGGTATGATAGTACAGCCTTTCAGAACCAAGCAGATAAATGTTCTCAAATACCTAGACGAACTTTTCTACTCAGACATTTGATAACAGTGGTTGCTAGCATCACACGACCAACTTTCCTCCTTTCTTGAGCTAAATTGGACGAGGTGCAGTAGTGAGCACCGGCTGGGAATCGAATCTTGATCACTCGTATACCTGAAACAATTGTGTGTCGGTGGCACAGTGGTTAGGACTCTCGCCGACCATGCACATGGTCGGGGGTTCGATCCCCTGCCGACACACACCTGATATCAATGGTCGGCCCGATATCAAATGCTGAAAATTCCATACTTGTATCGAAAATACGGTGTGAAATCAAGCTATAATCAAAAATAAAAATAAATACAGGCGATACAAAGTGGACTACAGGAATAGTTAAAACGGTATGAGCATGAGGAGAAGCTAAGAGATAATGTAGGACGTCTTTTAGTTTTCTGGGTAAACATCCAACCGCTACTAATGGTACAAATTTTCGGGATAGAAAAGCCCAGTTCATCGCTCTGGTTAGATGTTGATACATAAAGTCTGTGTAGGAGTATCGCCGTTGAATTGCAGACGCAAATAAACCAATGACTTTTTCTCCAGTGTTGTCAGTTAATGTCTGAGACTGTTTTATGTTGGGTCTTATAAACTCCTCTGGACATCAGTTTCCCCTTGAGTAATATAATAAAACTTTGGGAAAATGCAATGAATCATTATATTGTTGTCCTACGTAGGTGAAGTGTATCTCTATGCAAAGTGGTTAATGATTAAATCATAACGAAAAAACGAAGACTTTCTATTCACACAGCACATCTGTTTCTGTTCTTTGGTAGATATTTAATATTCACCTTGAAACTGAAACACATTGGATTTACCTAATCTTATCATCGCCTTCGCATACATATACCGTTTTAACTGTTCTTGTAGTTTAATTTATACAGGGTGTGGGACTAGACGCATTCGTCTACAGATTTTGAAAAAACCTTTATCAAACTGGTTTATTTATTTGCATTACGAGTTTGACTCAGTCCCTAGGGACATCTTATTAAATAAACTTGCTGCAAGTCAAACAGAATGTTGGGTTACATTCCTATTTCTGAGAAAGAAAGCAGTACACCGTGTATAAAGGGAAGTCTCCAACTTCATTGCCTACTGAAGCTGGTGTCCCTCAAGGCACTTTCCTTTCTCCTTTTCTCTTTTCTTTCTTTTTACATGACTTGCCTCACTCTAATAAATTAACTTTGTGAAGTACGCTGATGATTTAACAGTTTCAATGGCTGTTAATTCCCAGCTAGATTGTACCAAAATAAATGGCTTTCTGTCGGGAGTCAGTAAATGATCTGAGTCTAATTAGATGCAATATTGCGATTAATGCTGAAAATTCCATTCTGTATCACAAGTACTGTTTTTTGGAATAAAGTAGATTATTATTATTATTATCATTATCAGATACATACATATTAGATACAAGTAAAGAGCGAAACAATTGTGAAAGGCTGACTTACACTCAACGATGATGGTGATGATGATGACGATACATGAGATAGTTTATGCCACAAAGAGGTAAATGCATTCGCTGACTGATCACCTCCATCTCCTTTCTGTAGTGATTCCTTGGTAAGCGTTTTCTCTTGTAATTCATGTTGATTAGATGAGAAAAATAGACCTTGATATTCAGGTACAGTTGATTGACCAGATGAATTAGCTATCGAATGGATGAATTCCATTAATTCATGAAATTCATACGAATCATAATTCGATGTAATACCCTATGGAGAAGTCAAATAGTAATAAAAAGTTTTTTTTTTAAAAAGACTAATAATATAAATTATACTACTGATGGTAATGAGGTAATGATAATAATAATAATAGGTTAACTTTAGGATCATTAATATATGCGTAAAACTTGGCCACTGTGGTAGTAAGAGATTCCATATTGGTTTATTTATTAGATATATCACACACAGTGGAGTGACAGTATTATTTACTGGATGACGTTTCGAACAAAATTTATTGTTCATAACCATTTCAATCGTAATCACACAACTTTGAAACTTGAGTTTTATAGTTTTCTTTGTCCCCTCGTATTTGTCGTCGTTGGGGTGGTAGAGTTTTCCAGATATTTGGGTGGACAGGTGTTGAATCAATTCTATTACACGTATTCTCTCTCAGTTGATTCGATAAACAAAGCTTCTGTTATCAATCTCTCCCTCCCTTCAACCAGCTGTGACATTAGATTTAGAAAAACTGTCATCCTATCCCATCCATGCTATAATATATGGTTGTGTGTAACTGCAAGTAGTGCTTGAGATAGCTGAACTATTCTCTAGATTTCTTATCTTATTCGGGTCAACTAATCAAGATTTTACTGCTAGGTTTTTATGTTCGGCTAGTCTGACTCACTGTTCCTGTTCTACTAGTTTGACCTATGTATTTGACGTGACAGTCATTGCAGTCAGGCAGGGTATTATATAAACTAAATTGTTTTGTTCTAAAGACTCCACTGGCGGGATCATTAAGTGACAAAAGTTGTTTCTAATTGAGTTTGTGGGTTTGAATGCCAGCCGCTTTTATTGCTGTCTTGTTAAAAATTCTGCTTAAGATTTCCAAGGTACCTTCCTTGTATGGAATTACTACTGATGATTTACATTCCTTATTGCTGGTATTGTCTTGCGTGTATTGGACATGCATGTCGTCATTAATATTATTATTATTATCGCTATCACTACTATCATTACTTATCTTATTTTTCATCTTACATTTCCCTACATATTTCCTGACTAATTTATCCAGGTGATTATTAAGTTTCAAGGCTTCTGTTATGTGTATCACTTCCTGTCTTAGATTTTCCTTGATACTACTTAGTTTTTGTGCTCTGTCACTGAAACATTTCAGCAATCCTATTATTACTGACATAGGATGGGATGATCGGAAGTTCAAATATCTGTTTGAATGTGTGGGTTTTCTGTAAACACTAGTGTTTACCTTCCCATCTTCTTTCCTTTTTACGCTACAATCTAACATTGGAAGCTCCCCTTCCTCACTTTCCGATTCATAAGTGAATTGAACTGCCTCCACCTTTGAGTTAATATGTTCGAAAAATATATCTACATACTGTGTTTTAAGTACAGTGAATGTATCATCTACATACCTCCACCATATTTTTGGGGTGGGGGTGAACGTTTCAATCGCTATGCTTTCCCATCTATCCATGAATATATCCCCGAATAAGATAAGAAATCTAGAGAATAGTTCAGCTATCTCAAGCATTACTTGCAGTTACACACAACCATATATTATAGCATGGATGGGATAGGATGACAGTTTTTCTAAATCTAATGTCACAGCTGGTTGAAGGGAGGGAGAGATTGATAACAGAAGCTTTGTTTATCGAATCAACTGAGAGAGAATACGTGTAATAGAATTGATTCAACACCTGTCCACCCAAATATCTGGAAAACTCTACCACCCCAACGACGACAAATACGAGGGGACAAAGAAAACTATAAAACTCAAGTTTCAAAGTTGTGTGATTACGATTGAAATGGTTATGAACAATAAATTTTGTTCGAAACGTCATCCAGTAAATAATACTGTCACTCCACTGTGTGTGATATATCTAATAAACAAACTAATATGGAATTTAGGATTATAGTCACTAAATTTGGGACCAGTTGAGAAACTTATTAAGCACGACACTGGAAATTGTGAACACATCGGCCTGGAACTGAGAGAAATTTCCTTTCAAGCTTTTGGCTTTCAAGAGATTTGTGACAGGACTAATCCTTTTATTATTCCTTCTGTTTACTGTTATGTTATTGACATATATTCCATGAGCATCAGTTGTAATCCCTGAGGTAAATCATCAACTGATACATTTATCTTAGCTGGTATGGAAAAATGTAAACATAGACGAATTGTTGCTGAAATTCAACAACCTCCACTCTTCGCTTACTTTTACTTGGAAAGAGGAGCAGGAGAATAAACTACATTTTCTGGATGTCTTGCTAAGTAGGCAAGATGGGGCATTTCGGAGAGACGTGTAAAGAAAAAGAATATTCACAGGGCAATACACACACACTTCCTAAGTTACGTACCCATTAATTATAAAAGAAATGTTGTTAAACGTCTTACGATCAGTGCTAGAGAGAGATGTACGGATGACCCGCTTACAGAGGGAATTTGAATATATTCACGATTCCTTGACGGAGATGGGCTATCTGAGCAGTTTCATAAAGAAACATATGGAAACATCAGAGAGAAAACCTGAAACTCTGACTGCACGTAAAAACCTCTATTTATCAAATACGAATAATAATAATCACATTAGGCTGATTGATTGACTGAGTTTCAACGATTGACTCCTGTAAGACTGTAATCTATAAACTGATTGGTGGTGGACACCAAAAAGTAACCAATCTGATGCATCTAGTCCTTGGTGCTGATGATTATGATTGAATTGTCAGTTAAGGTTTGGTCGGTTGCAATGAGGCATCATCAAGTAGACGATGGCTTGTCGCCTCGGTGCACTCTTAATGGATCTTACACGGTGTAGTCGGCAGGAAGCCTTGAAAAATAGGTTTTGTGCTCAGTGCCCAGCTTAGTGACAGCGTTGCAACAACACTTGACTGGTTGAATTCAGTCTGCACCAACACCAAGAGACGCAGGACGCATGACTTCAGTTTCTCCCTGGTGATCAACCAATGCATCTAAAATCATTCTTTGGAATAAGGGATTATTATTACTATTCAGATTATGGATTTATTGATATTTGGATTGATTTCAGTGTAGATTTTTTCACGAACTAATGTCAGTAAGAGTTATGGAATCACCCTATCTGTCTCTGTTTTCTACATAGATCTTTGCAGCGATATGCACCAGTTCAAGTCGCCACATTCTATGTAGCACACAAAGCAAGAGAAGAAAGTAGAAGAAATGCATAATAGAGACAGTAAACAGAGGTGTGAGACAAAGGAATAGTAATAACGAAGAACAACATAGTTTCATTGGAAATCATATATCACAAGGAGTGGATGCATCTGTGCCAGCCAGCTATTGAGAACGATTTTCAGCCATATCACCAACTGTCGCCAACCATTGGTTTTTACAGTGCCGAGGACACCCCAACCAGTCAGGAAGCCGACACCTTCCCATGTGGCTAGCTGGCTTAAACTAACTGTTGTGGATTTCATTGACTGGTGAAGCCATGTTTTGGTTGGACCACCGCTACCTCTTTTCCACTCTCACCCTATGTCAGCTAACATTGGCCGTCGGTCGAGGAAGGCGATGACTAGGCATTTGTAACACATGTCCTAACCATCTCTCTCAGTCGATGTAATTTCACAGCCTCGTCGATTGATTTCCCCTCCTTACCTTCCTAGCACTCGACCGACGCCTAACCTCAACATTGCTCACCTTATTATACCACTTCACACGGCAGATAGAACGCAGCCACCTATGATCAAAGACAGCTAGCTAATCTTTTCATGTCTTCTACTCTCAATGGCCACGTCTCACAGTCATAAGGGAGGACGGAGAGGACTGCTGAGGAGTACATCCGCCCTTTGGAATCACCGAAAGTCATGGAACACTACCGGACAACTGTTCCATCCTACCTATTTGAGAGTCTTAAGCAGCCATTGGCTGGCAGTGACGCTGTACATTTTTTTCGCTAATTGACATGAGTTAGAAGACATAGCCTCACCATTGGATACTGTTCCAGAGGGCTGAATAGTTAATGAACTCGTCTCGTGACCTGAAGGTCTTGGGTTCAGAGCTTATTCGGATCACGATTGTGCTACGCCGAGAGGTCTCAAAGAAAAATGATACAGCCGTCTGATGCAGCAGTCAGATTTCAATGACTCTCTAACCGATATTGGTTCATGATGAATTCGAATTATTATCTACATTACAGATAAAACAATGGATTTGGATTGACGACTTCAGTGTAAATTTCGCTACTAACTAAAAGGTGTTGAAAAGCATTGGAAATCCAAAGGGAGTACTTGGCAAATGTAAGGTCTTCTACCTTCATTAGCACTTTTCAGCAGTGATCACTCGTGACCCCACTACCCTGGATGAAACCCATGACATTTAAGTCACAAGGACAAATCCGTTGACCATTTAGCCAATTAGGTTGGGATTCAATAAGTCGTGAATTATAACTTCTCAATCCGGGTGTGTACTGATGAAGAGTCCTAAGAGTCTAGGACGAAACAGCTATCCAGTGCTGCCTGATTTTCAATGATCTTAAACTGGCGTTGTTTCGTGACAGAAACAACACTAAGATTTTTTCCTCTGACCTTTCATGGTCATCCCATATCTTATCTATCTCTAAGAAAATGTTTCGTCTTACCTTCTACATTAAAAAGTTAAGACAATCAAGTATCAACCAACTTTTAGTTTTGCAATTTTTAAACTCCTGTATTTTACCTATTGTACTCTACTGCTCTCCATTAATCTTTCCTGGGCTGCTCAAAAAAGATTATATCATATTACGTAGAGTATTAAATGCTGTGAGTAGAGCTTGTGGTCTGCCACTGCATGAGCTCGCTAATACTATAGTCGAGAGGCATATAAATTCCTGTACGAAATGGGCAAAGGCTATAATGTCAGACCCTCTGCACCCCCTTTATTCACACCTGTCCCCTTGTATCTCATCAGGTAGGACGAGAAGTCAATATAAAAAGATATATGCTCGTACTACTAAGTATAGAAATTCTACAATACCCTATTTAGCGCGTACTTTATGTGACGAAGACTCTGTTAGACGTGAAACTTACAAGTTACTATGTAATTAGCACAGTGAATCGACCCTTTTATCGTTCATCTTTCTGTATTTTATGGTGTTACACTTTCTATCGTTTAAATCGTTACTCTGCTATTTTATATTAGTTGGTATTACTATTATTACTACAATTTTGTACTTTATACATATTTTTCTCCGTATGGCACACAGTATTTTGATACGCAGCTGCTACAACAATCGTTTTATTACTATTATGTATTGTGTATTTTTAATTTTTTTTTGTCGTTTTTGGGTAAATTAGATGCAATATTGTACTGAATGCTGAAAATTCCTTGCTGTATCACGAGTACTGTTTTTGGAATAAAGCAATTATTATTATTATTATTATTATTATTATTATTATTATATTATTATTAACACTTTTTATTTGACTTTTTAAAATTATTAAACTGACCTGCATCACACAGGCTAACCTCTCCAATCCCATACCAGTATCTACAAATGTTTTAGCTAGTGGTACAAGTTGTTCTGGTTTTATATGATCTTCAGCAGCATTACTGTTATTATTATTATTCTCATTATTAGGCAGAATACGATGCGTGATAAATACACAATTCCACAACTCCACAACTTGTGGACTAACAGTATTCACTAGACATCTTGCACAGTCTAATTGATCTCCACCAGTCAATGCTTTGAAATCAATGTGAATTTCTGTTGATGGACCGCACAAACCCCCACCACTAGATTGACTTGCACGCCAAAAATTTGATTCGATACCGAATGGCATTATCTTTTGATCCATTACACTGAGAGAAAAAAAGATTATATTTTGAATAAAAAACTATACAACAAGAAATACAATATAACATAACATAAGAAACATATTTCCAATAGACTATAGAAGATTTCTATTAACAGATGCCCCTCCCCCTCTGCTTCACTGGCTCAATAATACTAAAGACCAGATAGTCGGCTGACCAGAAAGCATAGGCATCGTAACAAGGAACTCTGCCACTCAACGAGTGGGTGGATTGGAGACCATTGAGTCACATTATTAGTCTGCGGAGGCCTTCGAGAGGGGAGACCAAATGGGGCAAAATGAGTGAAGCGTGAGTCTAAGGAAAGCGTAGAGGAAATCGAATGAGGAGAAGGATATGAAAGCTTACGGACAAATGTGACGCCAGCTTATTAAGACAATCTAGAGGAGAGAGGGAGTGAAATACAGATATGTTTTTAAGTATTGGTTTTGGCAGGGATTTTGTTTGATTGGATGGAGGATTTCATCATGAGCTGACAGTTAGAGAACCACTGGAAAACTTGGGAGTAATGGACGGCTGTTTGTTTACTGGATTGGGTCCCAGTGGCTCATTGGTATACGAGCTCGCCTTGTAACCAGAGGGTCTTGAGTCCGAACCCCGGTGGGTGCGTACTGCTGGAGAGTCCTAAACCAGGACGAAACAGCTGTCCAGTACTCCCAGGTTTTTCAGTGGTTCTCTAAGTGATGTCAGCTCATGATGAAAGCAAATACAGATATGTCTGAAGATTTACGTCCTACCCGGTATCTAAAGGCTATATAATTATTGGTTGAAGATGGCCATTATAAATTTCAAAAGACTGAGATAATTGAAAGAAGACTGCAGAATTCATGTTCTGACCAGACTGGCATTGTAAACTGAATGTAATAAGTTGGGCACCCTAGTAGGGTTGTGGATGCGCACTAACCGAGAGTTACACAGAAAGAGGATGAAACAGCTCTCCAATACTCTCAGATGATGGTTGTCAATGGATCTCTAACTGATGTTTCAGTCAATGCGCCACCAGTTACAGTCCGCTCTACCTACTTCAGTCAGGAGGCGGCAACAACTGAGTAGAATCACCAGCTCTCCTTTTCCCAAACATACGCACACACACACACACACAAGACGTGTCCCTTAACTTGGTACAAAATGAATATACTTAAATCATACATAAACAGTTCAATAGTTTAAAAATTCATATTTCAACTGACCTTAACGTACACTGAAGGTCAAGTCGATAGATCTATATTGGTATGACTCATCCGATTAAGTAAATAAATAATTTATTGATTGTTGTGTGTACTTTCTACTGATATTGTTTTTCCCATAGAGAGATAAATCTTTAGTCTGCCTGTCTATTGTCTTTTGTGTCTTCACAGTGTATGGGAATAGGAGTCTAGACAATCATTTATTGAGTGTTGCGTGTTGAAATAAGAGTAATAATGAACTCACGAAATCTCGTAGTCATCATTATCATCACTCATTACCGACAGGGGATGCAGGTAAGAAATCTGCGTATCCTAGATGCTATGTTTCTTTTATTCCTTCACGTTCCCAGTGGAACATAGGGCTTCAAGCTAGAGACTTGAAGTTTCTGTAGCAGTGTTTATTTTTACAGGATGTGGTTGCTAGCCGCATGCCCAACCTTTCTTCTTCACCCGCTTTATTTCTAGCCTGGCGAGGTGAAGGAGTGCGTCAGTGGTCGGGGATCGGACCCCGGACCGTGTGCATGGTCGGCGAACGTCCTAACTGCTGTGCCACGACCGTATAAATTCTATGTACTGATGGCCAAAAAAACACTTAGTAACATCAAAGCATCTGTACTAGGCAAATGATGTGTCAACAAAGACAGAAGCAATGGAAATAATTAACCAACCAAAAAAATAAAACAAGGACCGGTTACAATCAGCAAGAGATATCTAAATTGGGAATTACCTGTTTTCCATATTAAAACAGTGTTGTTTCAACTCAAGGATTACGATGTTAAAGGCAGGGTAGGGGAAAAGCCAGACAGACATGTATTGGCTACTATGAAATCAGTGTGAAAATTTCCTACACTCAACAGAGAGAACAAGATTCGATGGTTTTTGACGCTAGTGTCAAGTCAGTCCTATACTGTAGGGTTCAGAGACTTCATGTCTGCGTCAAGAAAGCCAATTCCAACAGACTGCAGACTTCAATCAACATGTCTTCACTAGCTCAAGAAAGAAGATCAGATGGCCAGTCAAAAAGGATATGAGCAACAAGAAACTCTGGCAACCAGACAGCCAACAACCTGTCGCCCGACAAATATGCAGAAGAAAGTGGAGATGGAGTGAACATACGTTGAGGAGACATACAAGTGATATTGCCCACCCAGAGCTAGATTGGATCCACAGTGGGAAATAACGAGTTGGGTGTCCGAGGATGACATGAAGGAGATCGTGTGAGAAAAAGATAGCTTATCGAAAATCACGGACTCCTCGCCACGTAAAGGCGACTGCAGGGAACAGGATGCAGTGGTGATGTGCTGCTGAAAACCGATGTTCCACTGAAAACCCAAGCAGAATAAACATAATATAAACTAATCATCAACGGAAAACTTAAATTAACGTAAACAATTAAGAAACAAATAAAAGAAGTCTATCCGTGATCAATTCGTAAAAAGCAAAACTAACCCTTACAAACCAAACTATAGAAAATTAATCTGATGCTCGCTAGTGACTTGCTACAGGATGGAGTTTCCTGGAGTTCTAGTGAGAAGTCATGACCAGTGAGGTCCAGTTAGATGTCACGTGTGAGGATGGCTATCCCACCGACGACAATGGTTGGGGTGGCGTAAAATCACGAATCGGTAGAAGTTAGAATTCATGGACTGGGCACTGAATCAGGTCCCAGTGGCTGAATGATATTCGAGTCTACTGACTTGTAACCGGAAGGTCATGGGTCCGAACCCGTGTAGTGGGTGCGTACTGCCGATGATCCCCGAACTAGGATGAAACAGCTGTCCAATACTCCAGTACTGGTTTTCAATGGATCTCTAGCTGATAACAATCCGTGATCAACTAACTCGTAAAAACTAACAACTTACCCTAATTTTAACCAAATATTACGTGTTTCATCGTCTGCTGGAAGTCCTATCCGCTGATCACCGCCAAAATATGTGATATAAATTGAATTAGTCGGTAGATTCAGTACTTCAGTAAGAAACTTCCAAACTAATGCGCATGTTTCCTCCTTTTATTTGGAAAATGGAATAAAAACAAAACAAGCAAATCAACAAAAATTTTCATATATATATATATATATATATATATATATATATATATACATATATATATTCAAGAATTAAGATTACCAGGAGGGATGGTTGATAAACTCGTGGAGAAGTCTAATATTTCCCCTCAAATTGAAGTAAGCACTAAAGTGAGAATATTATGTACTACCTGACACATCTGCTCCTCTTCTCGATCTTGGGTTCAGACCACTATCTAGTACAAGGGACTTTCAAGGTGAAACTAAAAGCTTCGAGGATAGCTGGGGATAGGCCACAATGCAAGTTCAACACTCAATTGCTGAAGGACACAACCACAAAGGACACTTTCACTTCAACTGTCAGAGCAAAGCAGGAAACACTACGTGATATCACTGAAGAGTCATGCGTGGAAGACTACTGCAACTCTCTGAAGGTGATTTTTAACGAAACATGTTCAACACTTTTAGGAAGAAAGAAGAGACAACACGAGGAATGGCTCTCGATGGACACTTGGAAGCCAATAGAGGAGAGGAGAATGGTGAAAGAGAAAATGATTCAATGCAAAGACGGACAGGAGAAAAAGACGCTGAGCTCAACGTACACAGTAGTGGACAAAGAAGTGAAGAAGAGTGCCAGGAAGCACAAAAGACAATCTGGCCACTGAAACTGAGAAGGCAGCAGGCAAAAAGGACCTGACGACACTACATCAGATAACCAAGTCTCTATCCGGTAAGAGATCAACATACGTGAAGCCTATAAAAGACAGCCAAGGGAACCCAATTACTAAGGAAGAAAGACAGATTAAACAATGGGCTGATCCCTTCAAAGGACTCTTGAACCGACCATCACCTGCAACCCGTCCAGAAATACCAACAACAGCACGTACACAACTGCAAGTTGACACCAATCCTCCAACGAAAGCTGAAGTCTTGAATGCAGTCAAGCTTCTGAAAGCTGGAAAAGGAGCTGGACCAGATGGAATACCCCATGAAGAACTGAAAGCGGACCCAGAGACAACAGCAGATATGCTGACTCCATTATTGCAAAAGGTCTGGAAGGAGGGAAAGGTGCCTACCGACTGGAGGAAAGGTTACCTCGTGAAACTAACTACCAAAGAAGGGAGACTTACGCCTCACTCTGCAAGAACTGGCGAGGAATCATGCTCTTGTCAACGCCAAGTAAAATCCCGAGTCGCATCATCCTGGAGAGAATCAAGGACGCACTGGATACAGAACTCCGCTACCCACTGGGACAAGCTGTATTCAGGAAAGGCAAATCATGTTCTGACCAAATTGTTACTCTACGCATCATCATCACAGAACAAAGCATGGAATGGAAATCAAACCTCTATCTCAACTTTATAGACTTAGAGAAGGCCTCTGACAGCGTTGACCGTGAAGTAATTTGGAAACTACTCGAGTACTATGGCGTACCCCAAATATTCATCAATCTTATTCAACAGCTGTACCACAACGGGACATGTCAAGCGATCTACAACGGAAAACTCAGTGAGGCTTTTGGAGTAAACACAGGAGTCAGACAACGGTGCTTGCTTATTATCACCAATGATATTCCTAATTGTGGTGGACTGACTGGATTATACATTAGACAGTGAGTGGGAAACGAGAAGACAGGGATATCCTGGACCGACCGAAGTGAAGAACCTAGAAGACCCGGATTTCGCGCGTGGATGATTTATGTTTGATGTCACACACACACACACACACACACACACACACACACACACACAAAATCGAAGACTTACAGGCGAAAACCGACAAACTGGTCGAAGAAGCAGTCGGCAAAAACAGGACTCCGAGTGAACATAGATAAAACGGAGGTTATGAAAATAACCAACTAACAACAACAACGTCCAACTTCAGTCACCATCAACGGGAGGGATTTGAAAGAGGTTACTTCATTCACTTCACTTATCTAGGGAGCATTGTCTCAACTACAGCCAGTCGGAATGGACGAGGATGTCAAATCGAGCGAGAATCGGGGAGGGAGGCGAGAAACACATTCATCAACCTGAAACCAATCTGGAAATTTTCGTCACTCAGCATCAACAACAAAATTCGGTCAGTTTTTCAATACATGTGTGTGCCACATGGAGGGTGACGACTTGAACTGCCGTACATATGTGCAAAGTTCTATATCGAAAACAGGCAGACAGACAGATGTCATGTCGCCGGCCAAAAAGGACCTCAGAGAACAGAGTAAAACCAGGTTGTGGTTATGGATAACATTTTATTTCGATAAATCACACAGTGTTGTACAGTTATATTAACTGATGACGTTTCGAGTACAAACTATTGTTCATAATCATATCAAGTAACTCACAAAACTTTTTTCTTTCATTTATATGCATGGGTGGAATCGATTAGATATTGGATTTATCTAAATAAAATCTTATCCATAATGGACTTATACTCTACCACAGTGCCCAAGTTTTATACTTATACCGGGTTGTGGTGTCGAAGTTCTGTTTTTCACTCATAACTGAAAGGACGAATAATAATAATAATAATCAATAATACTAGGCATCCTTCCACATACACACAAAACAACACTAAAATAAAAGAAACACGAAATAGAAATAAGGAAAACAGACCTTGTAGTAATCACCGAATGACCAACTACCTAACATTTCAAACATTGTATGATGATGTCTGTCATAACCAACATCATTTAAATCATCATGTCGACCACCGATTCGTATACACGGTTGTGAATTAGTAGCACGTCGCAATTGTTTAAACTCTGAACATACATTATCCCATTGGTTGAGAAATATGGACTTGAACTGGTTCATACCTATCCTGACCAAATAAGGAAAAATATAGACATAAATATATGTAAGAGTATGCATGTACATATATCAAACAAACCAGTACGCACGTGCAACCGGTAACGATAACAACAAAAATTATGCGGCTATGAGATTCACTTCTTTCAAACATTTAAAAGGAAATGGAAATGGAGGGATCGGGAATTCGTTGATACCACACACTCCAGACACTCGAGTGGTAACTAAATGCGAAGCGACAAGTTCAATGTGCTTCCCAGGGTGATATGAAAAAGAAATTATGTGAATTAGAGGAAAAGAAAACTTGTGGGCAGTTTTGGAGCCACCTGCAAATGACGACAGAGAATGGAGTGGAATGCGGAATTTCTGCTGAATCCCTACGTTCCACTCGGAGTGCAAGGAATAATAATAATAATAATCATATACACATTTGATCATAGGGAATAAAACGTCAGTTGCAGCGAAGAAAATTTTCTTTCCAACGAGGTCATCGTCAACCTGGCTGTACATTCGTGTATTTATAACAAATGGGTAGGAAAGTTCCAGAATAATTTCCGGTCAATGGGGCAGATTAATAAAAATACAATTAGGAATCAAAACCCCATTTTAAACATAGGCGGGGGAGCGGATAAAACTCAAACAAAGTAACATCATAATTATTGGGAAGATTTACATATTGTGCAATTAAGGATTAGAAATGTAGAAATAACAAAAATTGACAGGATGTTTGGATAAAAAATCTAATGGGAACATAACTAATGTGACGAATAATTGTTTATGGAATCAGGGATTAAATACGTAGAAATAATAAAATAACAAAATAGACAGGAAGCCCGGATATGAAAATATCGTAGTGAAAATAGGGATTAAGAAAAACTTAAAAATAACATGAATAAACAGGAAGTTTGCATAAGAAAGCCAATGGGATAGTCACTATTAGAAGAATAACCTGTTAATGATGGCCACGGCAGGGACAAGGGTTGAATGTATTTCCTTCGGATATATAGTGTGGGTTTGAGCTTTTGGATGGCTAGTGCCTCGGCCACGCCCAGTTATGATCCCACTAGATTTTTTATCTAAACATCCTGTCCATTGAAAACATTTATTTCCCGATACGAATTTAAAACAAGCAATAAAGGTTAATAAAATCCTGCTTTATTAACCTTTATTGCTTGTTTTAAATCCTGTCTATTGTTGTCATCTCTACATATCTAACCCCTAATTGCACAACATGTCAATCTTCTCAGTAATTATGATGCTACTATGTCTGAGCTTTATCCATCCTCCTGTTTATTATGGCGTTTTAATTTCTAACTGTAATTTTACTAATTTGACCCTTGACCAGAAATTATTCTGGAACTTTCCCACCCATCTACTATATAAATGCACGAATGTACAGCTATCCAGTTGATGATTTCGTCGAAAAGAAAATTTTCTTCGTTGTAACTGTCTTTTTATTCCCAATAATTTTTTTTATTCCTTCACGTTCCCAGTGGAACATAGGGCTTCAAGCTAGAGACTTGAAGTTTCTGTAGCAGTGTTTATTTTTACAGGATGGGGTTGCTAGCCGCATGCCCAACCTTTCCTCTTCACTAGCTTTATTTCTGGCTTAACGAGGTAAAGGAGTGCGCCAGCCGAGGATCAAACCCCGGACCATATGCATGGTCGGAAACCGTCCAAGCCGCTATGCCACCGACACACATTCCCAATAATAATATAATTAAACTCTAAGATGTATGAAAAGTGTGTACAAATTACTGAGAATGAGGAGAGATGACTAGCTTATTGATTTCAGTAACTGGGCTTTCAGTCGATGAGTTCTTCGGGGCTTCAAATCCCACTCCATGAACTCCATTCAACCAACCTGGACGAATGGCTAGTATTACCAACACTCCCACAGTTACACAACCAAGTAAAAGGAAAATCTGCTCCGAGTAAATGAGTCTTAACAAAAACGACAGGTGCTTAAGAGTCTGCAAGAAGTACGCAGCAACAAATGTCCAATATACTCCTTGGTTTTCTATTATGTCAGCTGATAATGAAACCTACATTAGGATAAGTCCATACACCTAGAAAACTGATAATCCAAGGAATAATAATAATGAATTTACTCCAAACAGTGATTTTATGTATACATAGTGGAACATTATGGATACCGAGAGATGTACCACGCAAAAATAATGACACGGCAATATATAAGGAAAACAGGGATAGAATAAATATGGGAGCGAGGTCATGCAGGAAGCAAGTAAGGATTACTCATAGAAATCATTCAACATTCTTCATCCCATGCTACTTTCATAAAGGGAAGAAAGAGAAACTGCAGCATGTCCGCCATTGACTAACAATCCCGAACGTCTTGGCCCACTGATTCGAGTCATCTTCCGGACCCCAACCAGACAGACAAGATATACGAACCGAAGCTAACTTAACACAGCTTTCCTTCATCCCACGGTGCCGCGTCATAGGCTGACCAACTCTCCACTTTTTTCACCTAGTCACAGTGGTAGGAGAACAGTGAGAGGTGTGAGAATCTCTAGGATAGCGCATTAGTAGCACATGTCCAAGCCATTCAAGACGGTGTTTCAAGATGACCAGACTCAATGACAAGTGACCTCTACCATGTCCCAACACGCTGCCGGACCTCAGGATTCCCTACATGATGTCATCGGAAGGAAGCAGAGATGATCGAATACACAGAGTCGCTGTATAATCTCAGCCCAGAAAGCCAAATTTTACATGTGTAGAGCAAGGCTAAGTGCAATAAAGCATTGCAAGTCAGACTTTTGATAGCCAGAATGACTTCGTGACAGCACTGGAGGTGGCCCAGATTGGCGAATACCACTCTATACAGTTAGAAACTTCGTCCATTACACCACTTGAACAAATATCCGGAAAGACACACTTGTCGAAAACTCCATGCAGTTTACTTGCAATGGTGTGGTGAGAGTTGGCTGCAAGCCAAAATTGTAGACAACAATTTACGTCACTGTTCACTTCCCGAATCAGTGTCATGAGAAATATAATAATAAAGCTTAACCTTGAGAAAATCACCAGCCAATCACAAAGGAGTTAACGTGTGGAAATATGATTCGCAGATATATGGCTTGATTTTCTGGGAAACGGACACAAAGAGATAACAGAATAACCCTTAACAAGAAAACAACCAAACAGAAGATGTTGCTCCTCAGCTAACAATAATGTACACAAAAATCTATAAATATCTCTTGATTTTCTCATCAAACAATCTGTTACCAGACGTTGTCTTCTGTCGTTACAATGATAAATGCAGTTACAGACAGGATTCTGTCAATCTTGCAATAATATCTTGAACTTTGAAAGCGCCGACGCTACACAAACATGCATGCTTAACACTTTCTACATTTTTCACAAAGTGAATCTCATATGAATTAAGCAACTGTGCGTCGGTGGCACAGTGGTTAGGACTCTCGCCGACCATGCACATGGTCCGGGGTTCGAGCCCACGCCGGCGCACACCTGATATCTATGGTCGGCCTGCGAAATTTGGGCTACCGATATCCATGCTGAAAATTCCATACTTGTACCAAAAATACAGTGTGGAATCAAGCTGTAAATCAAAAAAAAAAACAGACAAATAAATAGGCAGCCAGAAAAAGCCATTGACAGACAACTGTCTGTGTCAGGAAAAAGTAGTTGCGTTTACAAACCTGCATTGATGAAATAACTTCCTTCATGACGCTTTGGAAATACAGAAGCAGGTGCTACAATTGAATGCTTATGTCGATGAAAAAAATTAATAAATTCCTGTCGAAGTTCAACACCAGTACAGTCGCGTAGTCGAATTGAGGAGGAAAGAGGGATTTGACGAGGAACTGACTGATCTGGCATTAAAGTACACCGACCAGTTGTATGAATATCTGGATTTGAAGAGGGTACTATTGCAAAGTTTCTGTAAGAAATATGTGGCGTAAACTTCTGACAAATCTGTAAAGTATGATCAAAATAAAAGGCAATAGTTAATAGTATATTACGTACCGTAAACAAAAATTGGGATATAAATGAATGAATATTTACTTTGAATTGACTATAACTAGACAACGCATACAGATGACGCTAGCTGATAGACCAGCGCGAAACTTATCAGAGAATCATATTGGTTCAAGTTTCATAAATATCAAACACAAAAGGCAAACAGTCGTTGGTTCAGGTGTAAGGCGCTGGCCGGCCATGCACGTGGTCCATGGTTCGAGTTCCGGCCGGCGCACTCCTTTACCTGCCTTACCTACACAAAGAGGGAAGGTTGAGCGTGGGGCTATCCCACAGCGTAAAAACACCACTGCTACTGGAACTTCATAGCTAAAGCTTGAAGCCCTATGTTCCACTGGGAACGTGAATGAATTATATATATATATATATATATATATATATATACATTGATACTATGATAATAACAAAAGACAAACACTGATAAGACAACGATTCACTGGTGAAAAGCTCCACAGCTACACAGGCCGGCTAAGATCGTATCCAAACCACCAACGCACACTTAAAACTCTCTTAGTTTATAGGGAATAGCACGAAATGCACATCCTGGATTTCACTGCTAGTCACCATCCACCAATTAAATAAAAAGACAGTTGCAGAGAAGAAAATTTTCTTTTCGACGAAATCATCAACTAGAGAGCTGTACATTCGTGTATTTATAGTAAATGAGTAGGAAAGTTCCAAAATAATTTCTGGAACTACTACTACGAATACTACTGCTCAATCAATAGCATACAAGCATAAGTTACTCACAAGATCTTTTCCTTCCAACATTCTCTTACTTTAATTGCACTCAATAACCTTAATTCGATCACAAAATTCAAGTGTTGGTTTGTAAGGGATTTGGTTGGTTACAGGATTTTCATCATGAGCTGACATTAGTTAGAGAACCATTGGAAAACCTCGGAGTACCAGACAGCTGTTTCGTCCCAGTTTGGGACTCTTCAGCAGTACGCACCCACCGGACCTTCCAGTTACAAGGCGAGCTCCTATGAAATTAGGCCAGTGGGACCCATTCCAATGGCTCACGAATTCTAACTTCTGCCAATTCACGACATAGCGCCACCCCATGCAATGTCTTCGGCGAGTATTTGTCCTCATACCCGACATGCTGCACCCCACTGGCCACGACTTCCCACCCTACTAGAACTACCTACCTGAATAGGGCCAGTCGCTAGTGAGCATCAAATCCCTACAAACCAACACTTGAATATCAATGAGATGCTCATTAGCGACTGGCCCTATTCAGGAAGGCAGTTAGCTGGGGTTCCAGTGGGAAGTTGTGGCCAGTGAGGTGCAGCAGGTCAGGTGTGAGGACAAATACTCGCCGAAGACATTGCCTGGGGTGGCGCTATGTCGTGAACTGCTGAAGGGCCCCAAACTAGGACGAAACAGCCGTCCACTATTCCGAGGTTTTCCAATGGTTCTCTAACTAATGTCAGCTCATGATGAAAACACTATAATCAATCACAAAATGAAAAACGAATAATAATAACTCAGGTGAGTAAATCAAACCTCAGAATATGCGTTAATCTAACCATATATATATATATATATATATATATATATATATATATATATATATATATATATATATATATAAGAGAAAACAAACCAATACATAAGTGCATGCGCTTACTTGAGATTTCTGGACATGACAGACAAAACTGGCCTTTACTTTGAAAATGTGAAATAAAGTCATAGTACAGGTGTACAAGGCTTTTTGAAGCTGTAATAGTAAAAAAAGAAATCAATTACGTTACGTTACGTTAACCCTTTACAGGTTCAATCGACTGAATACAAAACATATTTTTACGAAAGACTAAGTAGCATGATAAATGCTGGTAGATTTTTTTAATACTTTACGTTCCCTATGTTGAAGCATAGGGCGCCTTCAAGCTAGAAGATCGAAGTTTCGGTAGCAGTGGTGTTTACTTTTACGGGATGGGTTCACTGACCTCATGCCCAACCTTCCTTCTTTACCAGTCTTATTACTGGCTTAGCGAGGTGAAGGGGTGCGTCGGTGGCCGGCGATCGAACCCCGGACCACATGAGGCGTGGTCGGTGACTATTCTACCGCTGTGCCACCGACACTTCTCGGCTCTCTGAGCTAAGATCGTGTGTAGTATCTGGCAGATGTACCTGAACAATAAAAACAGTACGACTAATATTGCAAAGACCGACTCTCAACCAGTGGGTATATGTGATGTTCATTCGGCTATCGATTAAAAATTGTGTATACCCTGTATCAGTTCACTGACTCATCTTTTATAGCTATGAGACACCGCCAGTGAAAGCGGAGGATATGGAGAGGCTAGCTATCCGGGGCTCATAAGTGATTGTGTTCCAACTCCAGTTTCATATGGTGTAATAGGGTGATGCAAATATTCATCAACCTTATTCAACAGCTGTACCACAACGGGACATGTCAAGCGATCTACAACGGAAAACTCAGTGAGGCTTTTGGAGTAAACACAGGAGTCAGACAACGGTGCTTGCTTATTATCACCAATGATATTCCTAATTGTGGTGGACTGACTGGATTATACATTAGACAGTGAGTGGGAAACGAGAAGACAGGGATATCCTGGACCGACCGAAGTGAGGAACCTAGAAGACCTGGATTTCGCGCGTGGATGATTTATGTTTGATGTCACACACACACACACACACACACACACACACACACACACACAAAATCGAAGACTTACAGGCGAAAACCGACAAACTGGTCGAAGAAGCAGCCGGCGAAGACAGGACTCCAGCTGAACATATACAACACGGAGGTTATGAAAATAACCAACCAACCAACAACAACAACAGCTGCAACATCCAGCGCCATCACCATCACCATCAACGGGAGGGATTTGAAAGAGGTTATTTTAATCACTTAACTACGAAGCATTGTCTTAACCACAGGCAGTAGGAACGGACGAGGATGTCAAATCGAGCGAGAATCGGGGAGGGGGGCGAGAAACACATTCATCAACCTGAAACCAATCTGGAAATTTTCGTCACTCAGCATCAACAACAAAATTCGGTCGGATTTTCATAGACTTGGCGGGCGGGTCACAAAGAATATTTCCAACAACCTGTTGCAGACATCGACCAACAACTGTCTTCGCTGGCTCTATACTGAATATCAGATGGCCGGGCCGGAAAGAATCACCAACAAGAAACTATGGGAACAGAGAAAGCAAGAACAAATCGCCAGCCAACAAATATGCAGGACAAAGTGGATTGAGATGGATTGGACACTCACTCGCTGATGGATGACATCGCGCGCGCGTCAGGCCATTGCTCCAGTGGAACTCGAAAGAGAAGCGGCGAATGGGACGTCCAAGGGTGGGCGACATGGAGGAGATCGTGTGAAGAGGAGTTGAAACAGTATGGACTAACATGGATGCAGGTGAAAAGTACGGCAGAAGACAGAAGCAAGTAGAGATGTGCAGCTGAAGCCCTATATTCCACTAGGAACCCAAGGGAACAATAATAATAATGAAGTAGGGTGATTGATGTCGAAGTTTAGCTTAGAGGGATAGTGTGTCCTTCAATTGCCTTTAAAATTATCAACGAGTAATGAACTATGAAAACTGTTAAGTGACTTCCACCGAAACCTTTTATGTGCAAGAAAACCGTGATGATGAATCTCGTTCTAACCTGACATTGAGAAATTTTGTACTATCATAACCTATAATGCGACAGACAACGACAACCAACGAGGGAACAGGCATAAAATGGACTGACACAAAAGACTTGGAGGATCTGGATTTCGCCGATGATATCTATCTGATTTCCCACAAACTGGAAGATATGCAAGTGAAAAGTAACAAGTTGGCAGAAGAAGCATCCAGAGAAGATAGGACTTCAAGTGAACATAGATAAAACAGAGATGGTGAAGATTCCTAGCCAACATCAACAGCCACTAAAATAACAACAGACAACAATCAGCCAGCATAAATGGGAGGAACCTGAAAGAAACAACCTCCTTCACCTACCTGGGAAGCATCGTCTCAACTACAGGTGGAACTGACGAGGATATCAAAGCCAGAATCGGAAAAGCAAGACAAGCTTTCATTACTCTCAAATCTGTGTGGAGGTCAACAGCACTCAGCATCAGAAATAACATCCGGATTTTCAACTCCAATGTGAAGTCAGTGCTACTATACGAATCAGAGACTTGGCGAGTCATAAAGAGCATCTCAAACAAACTTCAAACCTTCATTAACAGCTGTCTCCGCTCAATACTCAAGATCAGATGGCCAGCCAGAAAAGATCAGGAACAGGGATCTCTGGGAGCGAACCAATCAGGAACCGATTGTGAAACAAATAGGCAGAAAGAAATGGAGATGGATTGGCCATACGCTGAGGAAACAAACCATCAAGTGACATCACTAGACAAGCCATCGCTCGAGTGGAACCCGAAAGGGAAGCGGGTGGCGAGTTGGCCGTCAATGGAAGGGTGACTTGGAGGAGGTCATGCGAGGAGGAGATTAAAGCATGTGGGCAGACTTCGAGCGGAGTGAAAAAGTTGGCAGAAAACAGAAGGCAATGGAGGTGCGCAGCTGAAGCCCTATGTTCCTCTAGGAACTAAAGGATACAATAATAATAACCTATTACAATCATCGATAACTTATTTCTCGAAAAAACAACAGATTGAACAAAGAAATATACTTTCTTTTTAAATTAGTTCGTCAACATCAGCTATACTGTAATATATAGTAGCAACGATGATTATAGTGATAACAAAATATTGATAATAAGGTTTATGCAGATGGCGATAAAAACAACAAAGGTAGTAAAACGTGTATATGTAGACAATCCATTATAATAAAGGTTTTTGTATTTCCCAATGAATGAAAAACAAAACGATACTGTTTTTTTACAGTGAAAACAACAATATCGTTTTGTTTTTCATTTGTAGGGAAATGCAAAAACCTTTATTATAATGAATATCATATACCCAATGCCCAAAGTTTTTCAGACTGTTAAAAGTGAACTTGGTTTCGACATATATAATGTAGACAATTCAATAAATAAATTAGGTCAAATCTAAAAGTTGCGTAATACTAATGGTAAAGTGAACAGATAATCGGAGTTTAAATAAATATCATAGAAATACGAAGGAAATGGAAAATGAGAAAGGCTGGAAGGGTTTTGATTAGAATTTACGCCTTAGGCCAAGGAAGAAGCAAAGGTATAACAAATTTCTTTTGTATGCAAAGGCTAGGATTGTTCTCTCAAATTAATTTTCATAGCTTTGGTTATGTGTAAAAGGCGGGTTCGAATTCCGTTCGATAGGTTCAATGGAATGCGATAGATAAATTAGAAAGTACTTCTGTCGACTTGGTGACCGTTATCAATCAAATGATCCAAAATATAACTTCTTACAGATTTTATTTGACCTTTTCCGAACCATGAAGCGATATACTCATTAATACGTTAGTTAAGCTATCTAGTTGTTCACCCTATATAGCTCTTTCTACAGAAGCAACTATATTTGTAGATACACAGAAGTGGTACAGCTAGGTAGCTTGTCTTTCATTTGAGCAATCATAATTGGTCGGCTGGAAAATGACAAAGGGTGGCGGCAGTATAAGTCCGTTTTATTGCTCACGATAATCTCACATGTCCAACCTCACTAGCCGCGTCCCCATTAAATCGCAATTTCATGAACAGTTGTTTCTTTTTAACTGTTGTCAGTTTAAATCCCCTCTCCGTCATACCGTAGGCAGAGATTTAATTACAATGTTTAAAATTTTTAATAATGACTACGGACCCGAACTATCCTTTTTTTTCTACCCATCAGGTCAAAATACCTTAGAGGACATAGGAGAGTACAAAAGCTAAGAAGAAATCATATTACTGTTGAGTACTGGCTCTCACACGGTTATAAATTCTTGGAACCGACTCCCAGAAGAAGTTGTATCTGCGACCTCAACTAATTCATTCAAGTTTGGACAACCACTGAAATTTACTGGAAAAATATTGACATAGCCTCGAAGCCTTCTGTCCACAATAAACACATCTGAATCTGTGCTAATAGTCATACGATTAGTATTGACAAAATTATTGTAGAGAAGGATTCCAAATATTAAACATTTTGACGCAATGTATTGCCTACTTTTAACACAACAAATCATTTCAAACTCAAGCACCAAAAATCAGTTTGAGAAAATATTGCGGCAACTACATATGATATTTACCACAGTCAAGTGATTTACAATCTACCGGTCAGAACGTTGTCACTTCAAAATGAATTTAAGCACTAGGAAGGATTCATAATCCCTAAGAATAACGTTCACAATAGACTGGGACACGCTTAGGCAGCCAAATTACGACCACGACCACCCCCCTCCCTTCTACCCAAACATCGTATTAACAGTATAACGTTTCTGGTCATAGACTGATTTTGAGAGGTCGACAGTCTGATTTGATGTTACTGCTGAACCTTGTATGCAGTATTTTTTCCTTACAGCCGCCAATATGTTTTCTAAGCGTTAACCAGAGGGAACTTGCCTCCAGCATAAAATCCCCAGAGTAGCGCACGAGTTAAATATAGCGCATTTAAATTCTCCAAATTCAACTTTTCATTGGACATAGTTTGCTGAAGTCTGTTATCATCGGCTGGACTTATCCGGTATGTTGATTGAAATTTCGCTCGGTAAAATTTTTGTCAATAATTTTGAAATAAAACTGTGTTATATGTTTTCTGTATTGATAGGAATTCTCTTTTCCTGGCTAGTTATGTTGGTGTCCGCGTCATCTGATCTGACTGCGACACAGACTAAGAATATTTTTTTGATTATAGCCTGATTCCACCCATTAATTTCTGATATAAGTATGAAATTTTCAGCATGTGATATCGGTAGCCCAAATTTTGCAGCCCGACCATAGATATCAGGTGTGCGTCGGCAGGGGATCGAACTCCGGACCATGTGCATGGTCGGCGAGAGTCCTAACCGCTGTGGCACTGACGCATACTGGTTGTAATGATTAGTGTTTCATGTGAAATGAGTCAAAACATAGCTATAATGAGGAAGATGGGGTGTTCGATGGTAATTTCATTTACACAAATAGTTTAATTCCTGTAGAAGTTGCAGCTTTCGACATAGTGTCACTCAATGTAGAATTCACATTTCAGGATATCGGTGTGGCTATTTTCGTGTGAAGAACAGTACTGTTTGAGAAAGGAACGCTATCAGTACATGGGAATCATCCATAAATGCTAACATAACCTTCTGTGGGGACAGAAGTTATCATGTAGGTGTGTCTTTTACTGTATGTGTTTGGACAGGAATTATTGTAAGTTGAATAGTTATTTCCAAGTGGATTTAATATATATTAACACTGATTGGCGCAGTATAATATAGGTTAGATGAATTCAATGTATAAAAGAAACCCATATTAATATTGTGCCATTGTTTGCTTAGCTTACTGCTAGGCTAACAAATGTAGGTGGTTCTCGTGATTGCAAGTGCATTTGAGAAGGCAATAACTCGTTTAATTTTCCTCACTGTTTCACTTCGTGCAATTAATCAGTGTATAGTAATACTATACACATGGTTTGTGTTGATTACGAGAATTGAATCTAGTTAGCTATATTATTATTAATCAGCCGTCTGTCACTGTTAATTTAATACTGCAATGTTTTTGACCGCCAATAGTGGAGCTGAATTTTTTTTGAAATTTCCATTTACCTGAAACAGCACAGATGCAGTGTCACGTTTGAATGTCTAGGCTGCATTATATGTCACTGTTATTCTCATCAACACAACAGCTCTGCGTATCGTACAATCTTTTAAGTGTTTCTCTATGTTGTTAACACTGTGCATAGTTGCTTAGAGTTGAGGCATGTTCAGCTTATATTTGATGACTACAGATTCCGAAATATGAGAACGTAATTTCTGTAGGATTCAGAAAACTATGCTCACTAGACATTACTGAGGTTGTAGATCAGTTTCTAAGCTACACATTTGCAATACCTCATTGAACATAGACGTATATACCGTGAAATTGATGAGAGAATGACGTCTCAGCAGTATGGGTTTTTTAGAGTTTATCTTGAGATTTGCGTGTAATCCTTTAATGCCGGACAACTTGCGAGGTCTATTTATGAATACGGCGTCAATATAAAGACCAGCTGTGGACTACAAATATTTTAAATTGTGTGAGAAATTAGTATTATAAGAATCAGTGCATACTAATATATAAAATTATCTTTCATAACTTCATGTTGTGCTTCATACTTTAGGTAATGGAGGTTGTGGGATGTGAAATCAGTGGAAATGTCAATCTTTCAAACTGACGCTAATGCCCCCAATCAAAAGCTTCTTCTGTAAACTAAGAAAATGTTTGATATACTCTTCATTTCTACTTCTTCCGAACGTCTGCAGTGCGTCGCTATACTATGAGCTTTCGTAATATGTGGATTCTGATTAATACGTGTTAAGCTCAGTGGGATGGAGATTTACTGTAGTATTATGAGAATGATAGTCTAATCATTCATAGGATTTCGCATCTGTTTCTATACAATAACACATTGTTAAAACTAAGTGGGATTTAGCAAGTTGAATAATAATTTTGTAATGTTCGTTGCGCTAAAGTTGCCTTATTTAGCCAATTACAAGTCTGTCTACTGCTGAAAGCCAAGTATGTAGTACAAGTATATTAGGATTCATATCTACTTCATTAGCCAGTTAATATAGAGTAGCATCATCAAAGAGACTGTCCGCTCAGCGATGAGATGAGAAACAATTATTATTTAGTTTTGATATGCTGTTGAATCACGTGATGATATCTAATATCCATCATTTCTATGATTAACAACTGCAGTGTTTGAATATCTACTTTGTTGATTACGCCAATGATTAAACTATTATGGTGTTTGCCAACTCCCAGCTACACTGTAATAAAATAAACAGCCTAGGTGGGAACATCATTACTCAGTGAGAAATGCAGGCACATCCAGCTGACAAGTCCCAAATAGGACGAAATGCGCATGCTGGATTCCACTGCGAGTCACCATCCACCAATCAAATACTAACTAAATGCCCAGACATCGTCGAAACATCTGCACAAGAAGCCGACATGTCAACCTGAGACCGAGCACTTCGGTCCAATCAATCGACGGAAAAGTTTCAAATTCAATAAAAAGCTTTCTATCAGGGATTAGCAAATGGTCTTCACCTAACGGCCTTAAACTAAATCGGTCAAGGAAATTGTCCTTAAGTTACTACTGTTACGAAGACCCTCCTCACTGATAAATACTATGTATTTTCTTTGACTTTAACTACAAAGCACCAGTATTGTAAGAAGGAAATTATATTGTTTTGCAATTAAAGCGGAGAATAATAGCTGATCAGTAGATATGGTGGTGGTCACTAAGGTGAATCGCCCCATTCTGCAGGAACAGCAATATACAAATTAAAGGCTCGAGATATTTCTGATTTTTATGAGGGCTTGGATCTTTATCTTGAAAAAGATAATAATGAACGCCTTGACAAATCATGCTTCTACCTTTAAATATATACCATTCGCCCAGCCTATTGTTGAGATGCGACCACGCGGGATCTGCACAGATTTATGGTGCATCTTATAAACTAACTTGCTGTCCATTGTCGGATTTTAGACACCACTTCACAATGTCTTATCTCATTTATTTTCCAATAACGTCTTTACTTGATCCTCATTATATCCCATTAAACCTAACATTTTATAGCTTTTTATGAATTTGATTGGACTTATTCTATTCCTATTCTCTGTAGGGTACGGTTGTGCACCAAATGCACAAAAAGGCATAAAATAAAAAACCGACGTAAGGAAAAATGTATTAAAACCAAAAGTGGATATCATGATAGTGCAAAATGTACAGGAAGCATTATACATTGCAAATGAACGTTGTCAGCCTAAAGAGTTTCCTTTATAAATGCACTTGTCAATCAAGTCTCATAAAGCGTTAATGCCCAGCTCTCGCTACGCTCGGGCCCACGCTGTTCCTCGAAGATTTCAGAAACGCTAAGTTATAACGGACGCAAAAACCAAAACACCGATTGGTCGCTTGATATTTCTTTATTGTTACACCAACATATAAAGAGAATAAGTGAAATAAGGTCTGTAAACAAATATTACAATAATGAATCGTTATGTTACTTCTGACGATGTTTCACTCTTCTTTCTGAACAGCGACCGATGAGACGATGACTGTCGTATTGATGCCTCCGCGAAAATTGAGGAAGTTGATTTTGAGCAAACAACCAAGAATTGATCGTTCAATCTTCAACTCCATTTTCACTCCCCGGCAAAAAAGGGATCCAACCCTTTTTTCCTTCACGATCAATGCACGTTGACTTGGATGCCATTGCGAGAACCTGGGTCACGCGGACAGAGCTGAAATGGAAAACAAACAGAAAAGCCAACACACCACAAGCATACTCACAGCACAATCTCACACATCGCTGACGACCTGCGCCTCCAGACAGAGACCTCCTCTTGACATCTTGCAACACAATCGCCACTTACTAGAATGACTCTTGCAGAATGCAACGTGACCATAGCACCAACTCATGATACTCTACGCACATCCTCTTATCTACTCACTACCAATTACCACTGCAATCGCTTGTCACTCATTCTGCCTCAGTTCTAATAGCGGTGACGCATGCGAGCCTCAGTCGTTTACACTCTTTCTCCCCGGCGTGTCGGACCACAGCTAACAATTATCTCCGTGTGCATTTCATTCTCAGCAATAGCCTAGCCTCCCCGGCGTATACGACCCATCTGCTGTCCTTAACATCAATCAATTCATTCACGGATGTAGAAGAGTGGACACAACTTCGAAAGTAATCACGACGAAAATTTTAACAAAATTATGCAATAAAAACAAGATACGAAAACAACGAGTAAACACAATGAATTCAAATAACACCAATTGATATGACACACCACACGTATATACAAACAGTACACACAAACTCGCATTTCATGTCTTCATGGAATACCCTTGAAGAATTGCAGGACTTACACCAGTACGCCTACAAACCTTCACAGGTTGACCATTGTAAGTTGTGGAATGTCCAGACACAAACAAGATTAACCAACAATTACATCAATTGGAACTCACACAACTATTTAACACAAACATATGTACAATCAACACATCAAATGTTGTGGATTCTGACACGACAAACTACCCTTGAAGAACTGTAGGACTTACAGCAGTACGCCTACATTCCTTCTCAGGTTGATGATCCAAGTGGAAGTCGTCCGGACACAAACAGAATTACCAACAGCTAGATGACAGGTGATATCAATTCAGTATATACTGTCAGTCTCGTCTCATAAACCGTTAATGCCCAGCTCTCGCTACGCTCGGGCCCACGCTGTTCCTTTGAGTTTCAGAAACGCTTAGTAATAACGGACGCAAAAACCAAAACACCGATCTGCTGCTTGTTATTTCTTTATTGTTACACCAACATATAAAAGGAATAAACGAACTAAGCAACTAAGGTCTGTAAACAAATATTACA